ATTTTGGTGTCCATGTTTGGTTCACCCCGGCGTTTAGCCCTCATGTGACGAGGGTGTTTGGAGACTTGGGCGCTGCCCGAGTCAACCATTTGTGTGGTGCTTACCAGCTGGCGATTCAACTCATTGTCGTCAAAACAAGCATCCAAGCCCATCTTGGTTCAGGTTACAAGTGGGTTATCATTGTCTCCAATTACTGGTGAATTGACAGCTTTTTCTAGCACACTCAGGAAGAATGAAGCACATTATGTTTTTGCCGGGAGCTCTTGAGGGAAAACCCATTCACCTAATCTGCAGAGAGGTGGTGGGTGATGCCTCCTGAGCATTTTGATCCTCAGTGTCGCTTGGCCTTGGATTCCTAGGAGTGGCCTGAAGCCTGGATGGACGCATTTGGGTTTGTGAGATGACGTTCTTTTTGTCTATCATGAAGTTTGTTAAGTATAACTTTTTTTGACCAGTCTAATGTTTATTTCCTTCATCCAAGCGTCATTTTTCCTTGAATATGGGACTGGCGTGTAAAGCATTTGGAGGCGTTGCCTGTTTGTATTACTTGTTGTAGTAGCCCCACCACCGATGTGTCTTTAATCGATTGACAGTCTGTTCGCAATTGGTTCCGCCATCTAACAGTTATTACTGCGGCCAAATTGCACTTAAAGTGTACTGGTTTACACAAGTGTCCGTTGACCTTTGATCTTAAAAGTGTCATTTTTCTGAACAATGACACAATGAAGAGCTTACCATCGTGAGAGGGACAAACACTAGGAACACATGTCAATAGGGCGAATCGCAGTTTTAAGTTCCTGAATTACGATCTCAAGTCGTTGGCAAAGTTCATCTAATCTGACTAGGAGCCGTTGATCCCTACCTCAGATTCGGTTGACGCACATCTTGCAATGAATAATTCGTGCCATGAGCCGAAAAAAAAATTGAACAAACCTCGCCCCTTTTTGATGCCAGATTAAGAAATGCACTGTGGGCATCTTCATGTGCCGTAATCCTATCGATGGTTTTTCGTGATCACCGACGTCTTGATCTTATTCTTGGAGTCGTCTTCCCCCAACAACACTTGTGACATCCCACCTGACCTTCATGGTTGCAGACACGCATTTCGATCCCTGTCGCGTTCAACCGATTCTGCTGAGATCATTCTGGGGGGGGGAGTAGGAGGCTTAATATCAATGAAACTCGGCTGTTAACTAAATGGTCGAAGCCAATAGTGTTGATAGCACGAGACCGCGACTGCGGATGCGCGTACGGTGAGAGCACTCAATGTTAGTGGTCGTAATCAGTTGAGTTCGGGTGATAGATAGTCGTTTAATTACGCAGATGTAGGTCGGACCGCGAAGTTTACAGGATGACCAATAAACCCGAGAATGTGTAATCCGAGGTGGAAAGCCTGAACTTACGCAACTTACTACTTCGTTATGAAGGCAATGCACCGGCAAGCTGACGACATTGGCCAAGACGCATTAGTGTGTTTTTACACTGCAATAAGGGCTAACTTGTAACCGCTCTCATTAGCTGCAGGCTTAGTTCGTCAAATCCCCAGATCTAGTGTAACATCAGCCAGATCAGTTAACAAGCTTTGTTATTGGCTACGTCCGCTTTACACTGGGTCTAGTTCAAGTAAAATATATCCAACGGGGCTTCAGTTTCTAAACTCATTACCAATAGATAGTGACGACTTTAATAAGTGTTTTTCCCGCAAGACATTCAAATATGTGTGAATATCCACGCTTTTTCCAGTAAGGGCATTTTAAATGGATTACAACGAGTACCTGATATTTGTGGGCTCATGTTCTGCGTTCTGTATCCGGACGCACGAGTCGAAAGTCAAAGGGCATTAGCATTTTGGCAACTGAAACCAATCATTACGTATTCTGACGCAGTGTTACGACCTTGACTTCGACACGCCACGATCGCAAGACAATTTCGTCTCACCTCTCGGCTGTTCAAGAAACCTTTTTTTTAGCCCACTATCTGCTGTGTTGATTTCCAATTTGTAAACAATGGCTCGGAGTTTATAATGGAAACAATTCCAGCGGAAGATCTTGAATTGACGCATTTGTTTTAGCCTTCTATAATGGTCACTGCCGCTTGTCTGACCTGAATTAAACGGGGAATGCTGTCCACCGTACCCGGTTGGCGATTCGGCGCTACACAGAGGCGTTTTCACATCTGCAGCTTACAACGCCGGGTATTGCCTGAACCAACAGGACCACAAACGGTAACCGCGGTGGTCCAGCATTGGAGTGTGCGTGTGTCGTCTGGTGGTGGCGTCATCGTCCCAGTTAATGGCGAAAAGCAGCGCGTGGCCATTGGCCGCCTCTCTCGCAGTTTGGGCACGCAGCCAAATCGGTCGTCATCGTCGTCGGCGGCCGCTCGAACGCACCCAAAACACTTCGCAATGCGCATGGGCCACACAACCAGCTGATTGGTGCGTGAGCTACTTTGGGCTCAGTGCCAACTTTCAGCGCGCGCGTGCTGCAGCGTGTCACACAATGCGCGTGACGTGAGCGAACGCGTGCACGTGCGCACGTGTGTGTGTAACCTCTGAACGCACGCGACCTTCGAACGCACAGCATGAGTTGGCTGGTGCACGCGCCCACATTAGATCAAATTTTATTTGAATTGCATGGCACGCGAGTCGTAATTGTGATGAGTACTCACACCTTTTAATTCAGGCAGTGTTATAAGCGGTTGCGAAGCGAAGTCAGGATGTCTTCGACAGCGGTCATGACAGGGTCGTTCGATGCTTGTAACCAAGCCATCGGCTAGATCGGTGTATTTATCTCAGGTGCAGAAATGCGTGGAATCTACATTCACCCCACAGACCTCAATCCAATTTTTCCAAGAATCAAAAGAAACAATCCATCGCAGGGGATCCTAAGTCGAAATCCGTGGGCGTGAAGAGCTCAGTTTAGTATAAATACTGGGGGTAAATTGTCCTCACAAGTGAAGAAGTTCTTGCAATTTTCGACCAAAACTTCAACCTAACCGTCCGATTAATCACTCGGTAGGTCATCGAGGCAACTTAGTGAAGTTTCTCAGCTCGTTCTCTAGCCATTCTGAAGGCGGTGACTTTATATGTTCAGCAGAATCAAGTTGTTTAAATTGTATCACTTGACATACGCTCACCTGGAGCTTAATTTGTAGTCGTTAATTGCCCCTCTTGTCTTTGGTGACCTTCATAGCTCGTAAACGTCAACAGTCAAGCATATTTACACAATCTTTAGTCTTTGGAGGCCTGCTAACACCTCACCCTAATGTGTAACACAAAACGATGACGGTGCGAATTATGATGTTATTGTTTATATTTAGCTTAGCGTCAATTTCGCTTGTGTGCATGGTAGGCGAGCGTGCCTTATCTAGTTGAAAGCGATCATAACATAAACGCGGACAATTTGATCAAGATAACGACGAATTCCAGTCACCATAGTGTCCCCTTCATAAACAATGAGGGCTACCACCAAACACAGCCGGCATAATAACCATCCCCATCCCACTTAGTCCTCCGTTCGCATCAAGATATGACAAGGTGGCAGGAAATCTAGCTGAAGAAGCTCTAAAGATGAGCAGCCTCAATTTCCTTGGAATCTGCATTCGCCTGGCATTTGAGTTATATCAGACTCTAACGGCGAAGGTTACACTAACGTGATATGTCGTCATCGGATGTTAATCTCATCTATTACCCATTTTATTCCATCCTACACATTTCTTCCTGATTTTGCAATGCCAAAACTTCCCGTTTTCGTCTGGTTGGAGGTTCGCGCCAACCTCCAATTTAAACATAGGTAGGTCGATCAAGTTCTGCCTATCGATATTTGTGGTCCGTTCATGAACACTCGTGGCGATTCCATCAGACTGTGAGCTCATTTCAAAGGCAATTAACTGTTAAAGTTGGTTATCGACCGACCTCACACAATTAGGATCGAAAAAGCCACGAAGTTAAAATTTCTGATTACAATATTGTAAATCTGCAGTTTACTGGTCACCCAATTGGCAAGTCCATGAAATTTAAGGGGTCGAACACACCAATTCAAGTTGTCAGCTGAAAGTTGTGGGGTTAAAAGCTGAGGCAGACCGGTTCCGTGATTGTTTCGATATTTTTCGGACTGGAAATTGGTACGCCCACCCATGTTCAGATATCTAACACGTGTTCTAGCTTAAGTAACAGGCAGCAGTTTTTGCGTGGATGTAGCTTAAGCAACATCACCAGGTGGATAGTGGTCATCGTCACAACCGTTGTACTACCTGTCTCGACCAAACTGATGCATCGAGAACAAATGCTGAATCAGGGTAGACGAGAAAGCCCCCACTGAAAATGGGATAAACGGATTGCAAGACTATGAGTTGACGAGTTCACAACTCTATCTGATGTTTTCATTGACGCAAGCTCATCTCAAGGTCATATTTATGCTTAATGCTCAATTATTTTTGTCAGTTTTGCTATTGTCAATTCGTAAACAAGCATATATGAATCGATCAATTTAGTTATAGGCAAAGAGCATATCTGTAGTCAATTTACAGCAATTCCTAATTCACGAAAATGCTTAAAGTAGCGCATGGGGAATCGTGTTAAGCGGCAGTGTTGATGCGATGCCGTCAACTCAGCAAAGCTAGAATCTCCCGTGAAAGTGCATTGGATTGTTGATTTGACCAAGCAGGCTGGTGAAACAATTCATGTGGTGACCTACAGCTTCATCTGACCTGCAGGTCGACACGTGTGCACGCGTGTGGGTGCTTTCGTGCTCCACTGGAGCCACACATCTTCAAGTGCAAAGTAACGGCGAATTGAGTGCAGTCAGGATCTTACTCTGTGGCACTCCAAGTGCGGTGTTGTCTGCTTCCGAAAGCAGGTTCGACCCGATGCCAGCATATTCGCATGAACCAATGGTGAGAGTGAGTATAAGTGCACTGACCCATGGGTCTATAATGTCATTTGAAGCACTTGTAGCCGTCTGCAGGTGTTTGACGCCACCAAAAGAAAGAGCACAACTTGGCCGCCCTAATCCGCCGGGGCTGGATATGCCCTCTATCAGGTTCCTAAATCGCGGGTTTCGAAGCTTAGCCTAATGACCACTTTGAGCCTCGCTCTGGTGTCATCCTCTGCACAAGCCTATTAAACAAGCCCTACGTGATCTTCCTCAAAGTTACGCACAAAGTTCCACTTTAGCCAAGGAGTCCCAGTTCTGAAAGCAGGCATTTCTTTGGACTTTTAAAGTTACTGATCTAAATTTCGGCTTTCACTTCTGGGTGGCCATAACTGAAAACTTCTACTGAGGAATCGCATTCAGTCCGAAAAGCTCTGAACGCAGCTTCAAGCTAAATATTCTTCGTTTTCATTAGGCAAGGCGATCTCGAAAGGGAGGATTTAGCATGGAACTTTCATCGGATAATTTAGGCTACACGTAGAGGCGTTTTGGTATAACCTGCCAAGGTACCTCCTAGTTTTGCCAAACGACAGGAAGATGACCATATCAACCTTCGAGGACACTAAATTTTCGGTGTCACTGCAACCCACATTCAATTAGTGTCGAGGTCAATGAATCTCCGCCAAAACACCCCGTTGTGTGCTACGAAGTCAGACCTGTTTCCACAAAATGCAGTCGCCAGAAGCTGTTGTCAGTGGATTAACTTCCTCCAAATGGCACTGTCCCCACCCTCCTCCAGCCCACACCCCACTTGACAGCCACCGTTCCAATTACAAAGGTGATAAATCGACTTGGCACCCTCAAGCCTCGTCTCCATTGTGGTTTAAGGCGTCTTTTGTGTGTGTGAGCACAATTGCACCATCGCATTTTGACATGCCGATACTTATTATGGCTGTATAAATAGGATTTATGTTGGGCTTCCAATTATCGATGAAGTACGTAGAGTAATCAAGGCGTGTCTCTGCCTGTGGTGCTTTTTACAACTGGGAGGGTGTGCGGTCTCTGCATCCAATTCGCGCGAGCTGTTTTGTCTGCGGGGCTCCTGATGCCCCCACCTCCAGACCAAGTAGCGAGTGCGGAATAGCACAAGATGCGGTATAACCGCGAATGCTTTCACAGGGCTTTGGCTTGTTTTCGCTGGTCTTCGTGTTGAGGAATTTCGTAAAGAATACTTGCACTTACAGCGAATTTATTTGGCATTTGGCTGTGAAAGTGAAGGAAGCGCGACGCAGGACCAAACCGTTCCAGAGTAAAATCACGAGGCAATTCTCGCATAACCAATGACTTCGTGGTGTTTATTACTCACTGAAATTCGTTTGTAAATATAACCCTGAACATTCAACAGCGTAAAACAAGCCCGTAGTAGTCTCGTAAAGGCTGATTTCATTAAATTTATGTCAAATACTCAGAGATTTCGTTAATACTACCTAGTACAAAATCACCTCACACTTGAATTAACAAACAATGTCATGCAAAAGATTCATCCGCAACCATGGAAATGGGTGAAGTTAATCAAGCCCCGCCACGTGGCATCAAGTAAACCCGCCGCCGCCAGTTGAACGCACATCAGCTGCTGGCACAGCTGTGATAAAGTGGATTGGTGCGTCAGCAATGGACTAATTACAGCACAGAACCTCATTTTCGCTATCCGGAAGGATGAAAATGCATATTCGTGGTAAAAATCCCACTACTGATTGCCAAGAAGTAAGAAGCGGTTACACTTTCATGGCTTCAGCAATGAATCAACAAGAGGCTCCATCCAAGGGAGTCAGCTAATAATTTTGCATAGCACCCATGTCAACGCACTTCATAAAGCAATCAGCACAATCAAAATCAATTGTCCGAAAAAAATCTCAAACTGGGGATTGACCGTAAACGTTTAATCTGTAACTAGCAGCAGCGGGATGTATTTGAGGCAATTTTCACCTAGGGCTGAAATTCATGCTCAAGCGGAAGAATTCAAACGTGGAACGCAGTAATTACCATATGCCCAGCGATAACCACCTGCGTCGAGCTAAATTTGTGGGCCCACTAAAGGGCAAATCCCAAGGAGGGCAATTTAAACGTAGAAATCGAACTGCGTTGACCCTAGAATTTGCCGAATCTTTCGCTAACTGACGACCACCTCCTTTACATTAACTAATATCGCATTTTCAGGAGATCTGGTGTCACGCGAAGATATTGAAAGAATCCAGTATTTATTAATGCCTCAAAAGGCGCAATGTGATCATCCTTACCAGCCCACAATTTCAGAATCCTTGAAACACTGTCAATATGGCCTTGATCCGGCCAATTTATCACATGTGTCTTGTTTGTAATGTTCTACTAGATGTGGAGTACTACCTGGCTGGCCTGCTGTTGATTTACTCTGTTTGTAGAAGCCCCTGTTTGAATAATGGATGTACACAGAGCCCGCGAACTCCCAGAGTAGAATACCAAGACTAGAGGCATTTGAGGCACAAACCGGTTGTCTTGTCGTGTGTGTTGGTGCACATTTAAGGCAATGTCAACTTATAAGCTGTAGATTCACGTCTATTTTACTTGTGTAGGCCATCGGGGATCAACCAATCCTCTGTCTGTGTGTGTGTTTTAATAACCAATGGGGGCGATTAGCAGCCAACCAGAGACATGGATGAATTAAAAGCACCTGCATATTGCAAGAAGCAGGAAGTAAGGCGGATTTGGGTGGACAGTAACTTAAGAAGGGTTAGAGGCTGTGGCGTGTCAATAAAACTTGTCTCAGGTAGTCCACACACTGGGGTTTGTGTGATCAAAAGCGGCGGGCAGCCAGTGAGAACGCTGGGACAAGGAAGGACGGGGTGAATTGTCAAGGTGACTGACATGCACCTATAGACATGAAGGGCGTGAATTAATACTGGTAACTACAGCTTATTGCCAAAGCCAAAAGCTTCAGGTGAACCCATGGCTGAAAGGTCTATAAAACCATGGGAAACCAGTGATGAAACGAGAGAGAGAGAGAACCGCTTACGCAATAACAACCAGCTTGTGAGTTATATGGGCGGTTAAAGGTGGTGAGGGATACAGTCCTAGTGAACAAGTAAAAGTACAAACTTCTGAATGACCAGGTGGGTACATTTACAGAGGCGAATGAGCTGACGGTCAGCAAGGCTGATGTGCATGCTGTGGACAATGCGACAATGAGTTGAAAAATGCTGCAACCGAGTGGATTAACTTGAATCAAAGCGGTTCACAACAACCTCTTTAAGGGTGAACTGCCGATCATGGACTTGCAGACATGAAGGCTGTGATTAGTCATGGTGAGTCAGAGCCACCTCGCCACCGAACCAACCACAGACAAGAAATTTGCACAGACCAGATGAAGTAGCCCCAGATTATGGAAGCGTCCATCATTCAAGGGCGACTGATTGCCACTCAGGATTTAATGGTGAATTGGAACGTCTGAAATGCAACATCATTCCTCCTGATCTTGTCCATTCTCGGAAAGTAAACTGATGATATCGAAATTAACCATTTGCTAAGGTATCTTTAAAGATTTCGACCTGCTTAGTGAAGAATGGGTTTAAAAACGGCTTGTGGGAAAATAGTTCGGGCAGACATGAACGAGTGTTCAAACACACCCGCGACACACACGCAAGCACCGAGTACGGCCGAAGCCAACCACTGACCACGATGGACGCACCCTTTCAGCACACCGACCTAGTACTCTCTCCATTACCACCGCAACAAATAGCACTTGGAAATAACGAGCGGTCAGGGATGGACGAGGGCGATCGTGGGTAACAGAAAACAAACTGTAACACCATCTTATTTCCTCACAGCCCTTTGTTTTACTACACCGGTTTCAATGGAGGACTATTTGAGCCTGATAATAGCCGCGAGTCTCCGTGCTTGTTGCACGCATTTGCTGTTAAGTATTTATTGTTAGCAATAAATGGGTTCCACCTGTGAGTTAGACCTTGGACGTTAATTTATTTTTTTTGCAAAAATGCATAGTGAATCGTACCGATTTGCCTTCTCCGTCAGTCTGATTTTAGTTTCACCCCCATCTCATCGATCCTGCGAAACCGTCTGCTCGTGGACACCTGTGCGTGCACCACCACTCCCACTTTACTTCTTCCATTTTGCTGGCCGTTGAGCCAATCGTGCCTTTGCAGGTTTACGCGGACTGTTTTAGTCAACAAACCCACGCCTGGGTTGAGACAGCTAGCAAACGGTTGTCTTGCTCTCTCGTCCCGTTGCCATTGGTGCTTTGTTTTGTATCCTGTTTGCACAGACCTCTAAGGTTCTAGTCTTGTAAGGAGTGCTAGCTGTGCACTGGGGGAGAAGTGAGCTGTCGTCGTAGCGGACTTCACCGCTTGAGTCCAAGCGAGGCCCACTCCACACGTGTCATCTAGCAAATCCAACTCTCGAGGTCATCCAGCGGTGCTCAGGCATCTTGGAGGGCATTGTGTCAACCTTAAACTGGTGAAGACTTCTCTGTAGACGAGGAATCGCAACTCTGAATTATTGGGTTATCCTCGGTTTCGCGAAGTGATTGCATAACGTGCTGATGGCCTGATGGAACGATCAACGAGTTTGAATTTGGTGGATCCTGTTGGACGGTCCAAATATCTAATCTAACTTATACATCCCAGGCGTTACTTGTAAAAGCCTTGAAAGTGGCTAGAGTCCATATAAAGCGTCTGAAGAACCAGAGAAGACTGTGGAAATTTGTGTATCTTAATAAGTGATGGTGAAAAACCTACATAATTTGAATGATTTTTAGATTAACGTGAGCATTACAGGCGGTTCGAAATGTCCTGTGGGCACACCATGAGCCCAGCAACGCATTGACTGGAACACTCCGGCCCAAATTCAAGAGAGAGGGAGGTTGTGATGCGCCTCAGTTGTATTTTAATGATTGCTCGACGGATGGCCACTCCTTAAGGCAGTCACTGCGAGCCCTCGAACTCCCAAATAGCTCACTTCCACCGTCTAAAGGTGTAAGTCAGTACGTGCACTTCACCACAGCAAACGGCGATTCTATGTGTGTATTTTCAGTAGAATTTGGCGTGGGGAAGTGTGAGACGAAGCTACTTAAAATGTGGCAGAATTCGTGACTCAATTTTCAAATTAGCCCTTCTTCAGCAGCAGAGTTGTGCACAAAATTGAGGAGTTTTCGTGGCAGCCCAAATTTCTACACAACCTCACCTCCATACGGTCTAAGACGTATTGCGTCAAACACCTATACACACGCACATTCACACTCTCCCTTTCTAATGACGCAGTCAATAAAAGGGAACCAGTGAGGAGGCACTTGACCTTTGGTAGTTACTCGACCCGAACAATCTCCTTCCAAGGCTAACCGGCTGTTTGGTAAAATTTTCTGCTTTTGAGCATTCGACATGGTCTGCGAATTACCCAACAACGAATGCTCACGTGAAATATGACAAAACAACCGGTTTCGAAGTGCGTGCGAGCCAGTGCACATGACCCCTACTTATTTACTCGTAGTAGGCGTTATCTGGTTAGCTGAGTCATATCTTTTCGTAAAGTGCCCAATGCTCTTCCAGAGGCATTTGCTCATGATACACTGTCAAAGGTAAAACACAAAAAACCCTAAATTACACCGCGGCCAAAAGTTCATCCAATCAAAATATTACGGACGCTGTAAAAGCTACGTTCATTGGCTGTTCGACCGACAGTTTTGTCCATAAACGCGACCAATAATTTGACTATCAAATTGCTCTGGTTGTAGTCTTATTTGAGGTGCTCACTTGCAGTATCTACAAGACCCGGAATTGAAAGATTTTGAGGTCCTGGTTTTAAAACCCAAAAACGGTCGTATAGATCCGGCGTACGGAGTGTAACTGAGCACTGATTGACTGACTACTGCTTTATCTCGAAGCCAGTGGTGTAAAACACCATCCTCGTCAATGCATAAGCACCTCAACAACGCGGTGGGGATGTCAGCATTGCGATCTGTGACTTGCATTTACTTAACTATGCCCGCACAGTTACAACTCCACAGTCACGCCACACTATTGCCCACATCATCAACTCATCAGGCACAATTAATCACTCAGATGGCCAACCTTAGACCACCGCGCATCCGTCCGCGACTTTGGTTGAGACAGTGGAATTCTCTGGCTGATATCCTGTCATGTTCTGGGACACCTTTGACGTGCCAAGTTAGGGGTTTCATCTACTTACGCTCGGGAAGATTTAACATTCACACACGCCTAAATCGCACTGTTTCGCTGACATCCTCGCTGATTGTGTGGATGCATAGACAGAAGCCAGTTTTCCGGTTTATTTCTACAAAACTAAGGCCACAATTAACTCGTATTGAAGATGTCCTTATGGTAACTGGACTTGTATTTGCTCTCTTGAAGTTTACCATGGTACAGGAAGCGTGTTAAAATACGGTTTTCGGCTCTGACCAGTAAGAACCCATAAAGCATCCAGTTTTAAACACTACTGAACGCAGACAGGAAGTTAAGTAGCAAGGTGATTTCAAAGTTTCATGTTTCTTCCCAAAGGAAAAGAAAGTGGACCTAACTGTGACCTGGCTCCACCTCGATTAGACAAATTAGCCCTTCATCGTCAGGCTAGTGCAAAAGTAAGGTCCGCAGGCAGAGTTTTTGCGCAAAATTAAGTGCTCCATAATTACGTAGGTACTGGTGGTCATAACTTCTGTTGAAATTGCTTGAATTAGTTACTGCGTCATCCAGAAGTACGACAAGCGATAAAATCTCGATAAGTAGTGTCTAAACAAGTTATAATTAGAAGCGGACAATGCTGTGCATTGAATGTTTTGGCCCGCTGATTAACCAACCGGCAAGACACCACCAGTCTTCCACATTTAAGGTCCTAATTTTGGTGCAAATTATTTTCCCGTGCTATGTATCTTCTCATTCTACCCACGCATTGTGGGTTTCTAGTCACGAGAACTAAACCATCTTCCCGGTAAATAATAACCACACCAAAACAATAATGATGGACCAATGCCAATGAATTTGGCCCCTTGAATGGTGATTTTATTCTTCTGTAAGTCATGCTATGGAAACAAAATAAGTAGAAGGTAATATTTGGCTGTCCAAAAATGTAGGCAGCAAGTCTACTGTACATGCCAGCTTGCGCTTAAATATGGATTAAATTCTGTGAATTGCGCTTTCTACCGCGTTCTCTGTAAATACATACCATGGGCTACTTGCGGTTTCACCGAATTTGGCGACTTCATTCACCGGGTCTTCAGCGTCGAGAAGAAAGTCAACGCCGTTGCATGCCACGTAGGGATTATGTGTAAATTCGCCTGAAGAAGAGGCAGTCGTGGTTCCACTGTTCGCCGTTTGAACAGGCCGGAGAAATGTGGGTGTGTGGACGGAGACAGCGCAGGTCGGTGGTGTGCGCGGAAAGTCGTAGTCCTCCTCCACTTTGGACTGGATGTACCTTGGAGGGCCATCGTATCGCGCGCAATGTCTTCCCTCGGCCAAGTGGTCAAGTGGTTTAAGCTCGCCTGCGTTGGAGGCGCCGTACACGAGCCACTGCGGCTCGAGGCGAGGTCGCTGGCACTTCGGGTTCGACGATGCCAAGTCAGTGGGCGAGAGTTTGCGGTAGGCGTTGTGGTCGACGGCGACGACGACGGCGGCGTCGTGGCGCGCCGTGGCCAACTCCGCGGCCGGGTGAAGCCGCATGTGCTTGCGGAGGGAACTGGGGTGGGAGTAGGTCTTGGTGCAGCCGCGCACGCGGCACGTGTACGGCTTCTCATTCCAGTGGGCGTGCATGTGCTTCTTCCGGTCAGAGCTGTTCGCGAAACGGCGGTTGCAACCAGCGAATTCACAGGGAAAAGGCTTTTCGCCTAAAATTATGCAAGCACATGAGAAAAGAATCCATTTACCGTGTATTTACTCAATCTTGTTCCATGTACAAGTCAAAACTTTATTAAGCTTCCCGTAAAATTCTTGATTGCGTTGCTAATGACAGTTATGGAGGCCCACAGTTTCCCCGAAGGAATGTGCTGCTTACCACCGACTCGTTTGTAAAACTATGTCATCCTGATTGGCAGAAGGTTTGACATGTGCTTTCGGTCTAAAAAAAGATTATAGAGAGAGAAATCTTGTTTTATTTCAAAGGCCAGCCAGGTTTGATAGGAGGAGCATGCGCCGTTCGAGCTACAACCGCACCGGGTTGGAAGTAGTTTCGTTTTGAAGGCAACCTCAAACAAGTAGGAACCGGCGCAGGTGCGGCAAAGCGAAGTGGCGTTTTTTGATGATGCGGCAGCATCGGCTGAGTGCGTTTGAGGGCTGCTTCAAGCTCGAGCTGCGGCCCCTGGCCAGCGCCCAGTTGCCGAGGCCTGTTGCGTCGACAACGGTGACGATTCCCGCCGTCTTTTATTCAACCCCATGCCAACTTGTTTTTACCTAATGGTGTTAATCTTGTGCGCTGGGGCACGTGTGAAAGCACACAGAAAGCAGCCCTTGCCAGACGCAGAAACGCAAGACGGACAGGTAGCTGTTCTCATGTAATCGCGATTTGACGTACACCTGTCAGGCAACCTGTCCGCTCTGCTGCCTGTGCGTGGGTTCGCGCATATCCTTTTCCTGTGACTTGAACTTTCGCTTTCTCACGCCAGCAAAAGCACCAGCAGATGGTGCAGTCGCCCCCGCCAATTAAACACGGCGAGCTTGACAGAGGAGTCGTCTGTGAAGCCCTGGAATGATCGTAGCCATTGCGGATTCTGCGCGACCTTTCGATTAAGTGGTCTCGGTCACGACGAGCAGTCGGCCGAGGAAGAAATCCGCAAACTGCTGTACACTTTGATGCGGCCTCGAGTCCAGGCTCGCGATAACCCATAACTCAACTCCTCGACTCTGTCTTCATCCTTGCGCGCATTTTATAACTTGCAAAAAAAACGGAGAAAATTTGCCTCTGGGGCAGGAGATTATTTCGTCACGGTTTCTAAGCAGTTATCATCTTCGAATTACATCGATCGCCTTATTTGCAATAAACCTGACTAGTCAAACACCGGTAGTTTAGCCTGTGGGATAACTATGCAGCTCAAATTACTCTCATTTTTTTGCAACTAGCCCATCTGCATACTACTGCCTACAAAAGTGCAGCGCGTCGTTTGATTTGGTACGAAACTTGCACCACCAATCAAAATTCGCTAACCTGTGGTGGCCAAAACCAGTGTGATGTGACGCTAGAACATCTAGCTGGTCTGTTAGACAAGAGACTGTGTTTAGTTCGCAATTCCTGGTGAGGTGCTCACAGGGTTAATTGAACACGTCAGGCGTCTCAAATCCCGCTTGGAATGCCCAGTTGCCGCGCCTCATGCACACTCCATCGCACATCAAGCGGCCCATGTTGGAACTAGGCGCTGCGAAACTAGCCCACATAAAGCCTAAACGGCTGAACTTTGTTGTGATTTAATTGTTACTGCAGGCCGGAGGATTTTGCGTGTGGGATTTGAGTTCCACACGGCCGCCAAGCTTTTAACTTTCGTGCATTAGAAATTGGTTCTACAATAAGTATTCCCGCAGCTATCCCGGCCTATAAGTTACTTCTGAAACTAACTGGTATTTTTTATTTGACTTTCTGAGTTATAATATCTCTGGTTTCTGAAAAATCTTGTCAGAAATGTTAAGGAATTGTACAGATTCGATAACTAAAGTCAAAAACATGACACACTTTAATCCCGGTTTTTCGTGGGATGGGAACGCTACCAGCGTCGAAAGGAGTTGCATTTTCACACAAACGCTGATGCATTTTGTGGGTCCTCTCACTGCACAAATACCAACCCCAATTTTGATCATCCACATCTGTGAAGCACAACAGCCTGACATTGCAATATCAAAACTTTCCACCGGAGTCCGTCGAAGAAACGCCGCACTCGACAGAGCCTGTTCCACGTGCCAACCGATTCCATGGAAGTTTTTTTTTGCGTGCCGTGTCTTACTTTGCTTGTTGAATGCTCCACAAACTTGCATTTGCATTCAGCATCTAACTTAATTCGTCGTGTGCCGTCTCAGGCTGGAAGGATGCTGGCTATCACTGCAGCTCCTGTCGTTTTGGCCAAGTTCAATCAGCAGAAAATGGAGCGGTAATGGGAGATGGCCATCGTGACCATTTTCACGGAACACTACTTAACTAGAATAACACACGGAATCTAGTCAAGCGGGACGCGAAACAAATCATTGGACGGCAAGCAATATCTGTACAGTTTGAAGTTGAGACGAGAGGGTCATGGCTGCGTGACTGTTTGGGTTGGGGTTTTATCCACATGGGAGGGGCATTAGACCTTAGCGTGCTCTTTGATCAAACAGCCCGTAAACTGGCTTAAGCGTAAGCCATGGCGTGTGTACACATGGATTTTTCGATGCTCTAACCTGAGTACATCATGGTGCGTACGCATCACCCCGTGAATCTGCCGAGGTGCTGTGGGTAAACTGACGGCGCGAATCCCATTGGTGATATTTGGTGGCCTCGAGCCACCGTGGAGGGGTTATTAGCCACATCAGTGCCGTGGCGCACGAAGACAATTTAATTAAGCCGGCCATTGCGTCAGCACCGTTTGCACAAGACCACCACCTGGCTTCCTAACTTCGAATATCGAGCTGGTGGGGGGGGGTTGGGGGGCAGGGTGAACGGAAGGCCTCCCCCTCGCCTCTTCCCCTTCGACTGTCGGTGAACTGCGCCATCTGCCTGGCGGCAGACCTCATCGACACCGTTGATTCCACTTACCCAGCACCATCGGGTGTAGAAGTGTCGCGGCGAACACCCTGAAGGTACCTGATCTGAAGAAGGTGTTAAAGCTGATGTCACTGGGTGTGCCAACTGAATTCCACCGCCGCCTAAATTACGTTTTAGTAAATTTGAGGCACGACTTGTGAACTTTCAGGCAGCATTTTTGTAAAGGGAATGAGAATAAATTTGGAGTAAAGAAGAGGATTCATTCTGACAGAAGGCTTGCGAACTCCGACGGATTGAGAACACAAATTTATGCATATTTCCTAATTCCGGTGATAAAATGGATCGGCGGTCCCACGAGCGACTTTTAATTGAGACTGCGGTCTCCTTAATTGGTGGTGAAGGTGGTGGCGAGGTCCATTTACGCGGCCCGGCAACGTCTCCCTGCTGCATGTGGTCCCGACAGTCTGGGCATTTGACCCGCATCAACGCGGGTGGCGGAAAAGCGGGCTCGCCAGCTTGGGGGGACAGTGGCCCATCCGCTTGCCCACCCCCAATATCGCCGCGTCGACAAAGTACCCTCAGGCTGCGGCCACCACACAAAAGTCATCGCGTTTTTGTCGGGGCAATGGGATGTTTTTAACTGGGAAACCACGCGACGCGACACCACAGGTCAGACTGTACGTGGCTACCTGGCAGAGCATCTCTTTAAGTTCACGAAACAGAACAGGTTGGTGTTTGGCACAAACCAACGAGACGAGTGTCTTCGCTAACCTCAACCACTTTACCTGTACGCGAACCTACTGTGTGCGTTTCACAAGGAGACATTTAATTGTCTCTCCACAAAACTGGGGAACTTTGTACAAGTATAAGCGAAAATCACCGAGGTGCTTTGGAACGAACTTCGCTTCATTCCTCTGCACTCCAGGCAGCTACGAGATGGCAGAAGAAATAAGCTGTATCATAGTACAAAAGTACAATTGAAATCGTTTAAATTCAAAACGCTCGATCCCTTGTTAGTAAAGCTGTCAAATTCCATGGAAGGCCTTTGTGTTTGATTTCAAATTGATTAAGCTACGACTAAATTTCTGACATGCCCAAGGGAGTAAAAATCATCTCCAGGTACTAGGGTCATTCAATGCATAAACATCTCACCGGTGTCTGCTGTTCACTAATTACACTAGGCTGTCTGTGGATTAATGAAGGTTTCTGAAAAACTGAATATTGGGTTCTAAAGCGATACCTACAGCAACAAGTAAGGACAGCATTAACTTACCCGTGTGAGTTCTGATGTGGATCTTTAAATTTTCTGCCCTCGCGAAGACCTTATAGCATCCGGGGAAGGGGCAGCTGAATGGCTTTTCGCCAGTGTGAACTCGGATGTGATTGACCAACTTGTATTTGGCCTTGAATGTACGACCTTGGCGTGAGCAACCGTGCCAATAGCACGTGTGGTCCACACGTTCAGGTCCTCCAACGTGATCCTGAGTCACGTGGTTAACCATATCGTTGATGTTGTTGAATGTCAGGCCGCAGACGTTTCCAACGCAACTTCCCGGCTTGGTCCATTGACAGACGTGCTGAAGTGAAGGCATTTGCGGCAGCGGCGGCTGTGGCGGCGGCGGCGGCAACAGTGGTGGTGGCGAGGTGGGGCAGTAACCTTGGAAGCAGCTGTAGACTTGTTTACTTTTGGAGTCATGGAGATAGCCGTCGTCAGTGGCAACCGGAAGACCGTGGTGTGCCCCATTGGGTTCATAATACATGCTGTAGCAAGGATCCAAGTAGTTAGTGAAAACCATCTTAGGTTTTACGTGTGTGTGTGTGTGTGTGCGATCACGTAAACCTCTGGCGGTTTTCAAGCGCTGACGCCAGCAAAGTGCACGCGCGGTTGCTGATTGGTTCGCTCTAACGCGCTAACCGGTTAGCCAATCCGAACGCAAACCTGAGAGAGAAGCCGCTAATTGTTTCACTCAATTAATTTGCGTAACAGAAAATTTCAACTGAAGTTAAGTCATTAATAATGTATGTTATGTTTCATAAACGCCTCAGCACTTTATCAACCAGCTGCTAGAATAGGCCGTTTTAGGCCGCGTGAGAACGTCCCTGATGTTTCAGAACAAAATCAAGTCATTTGTTGATTAAAGCAGCCATCTACGTTTAATTCACTGTTTTATGGCGTTTTTCATATTTTTTGTGTCTACAATGCTAAGTCTTGATTCCTCTATTAAGAACAGGAAACATTAGCTGTAATTCTTGTTTTTTTGTGTCTCGACGCGCGTTAGCCCTTTGATGGCTTATTAACCACACAGCTCAATCTCCGACGAGATATCAGTGCACCCACCGGAGATTGAATGCTCATTCTTCCGTTGCTGGAAGCTTAAATGAGGTCGTACTTTAGAGGGTCGTGAAAACGCTTCGTGATGAGGTTCGGAAATACCGCGTTCATTCCCAGACGAAAGTTCTTTTATGTGTTGAAGTAACAGTTAGCGTCGATTCCTCAACCACAGAGGTCTGTTTAAAATCGATTGGAAGAACAGAACAGTGGAGATCAAAGATGCATTTAACGTCGAGCCTTCCTCGGCTTCGACCGCCGAGGCCTAGACGTTCCAATCATTTGTATTAGCCTTTCCACTCGCCAACGTCAATTTACCGTCCCTGAATTACACGGAAACACTGCTGGCTTTCAGAATTTCGCTCGCCCCTCTCAGAATCTGTGTTTTGCTCTCACGCAGTAGTCTACCTGCTCGCCCGACTGGTGCCAACATGCTCGACGCCTCAATGAATCCCGGTGGCTGGCGGCGAGTGTAAAGCCATCTTGATGCGGCCACAGAAGTCGAACAGCCGCACGCTTGTGATGCCATGCGCTACTGTAGCACTTTTTCATGCATCGGACACTCGCCTTCCACTTGGGACTGCGCCAGTGTGGATCTTCACTTGCGAGACCTGACGCACACCGCTGGAAGCCCAACCTACGCCCTTGGAGTCTCTCAGTTCTGTTTAATGCAATTGGAATACAGCGCTACCCCCAAATCTGGTGTACTTTCTGCTTATTCCTTTTCCCCTAAAGCTGTAGACAGTCGCACTATCAGTAAAAACACCTTCATTCTAGCTGAACGATTCTACTTATTGTCAGGCCAACTGAAATAACCTTCTACTAGTCGTGAGCAGACCTCAGTCCACAGCACTTTAGGATTGATTGGCGTCGACTGTTTCAAAAAAAGCATGTCAAATCACAGGCCAGTTCCCTGCCACTCGCTGTACCACCCTCAGCGTATGTTTGAATTGTCACGCCAAGGATAAGGAGCATCAAATAGCTAATTCGTGGGACTGCTCAATGCAGACGGACCGCAAATGAGCAGAGTGGGTGGAAGCGGGTGGCGAAGGGAGAGGGGGGTGAGAGGGGCTATTCGACACTCTGATTCGTCCCCCGGGCCTCAACGACTGCTCCACTTTGTTGCGATTGCCATGAGTGCCTACCTGATAGTTACCATAGTTTTAACCATCAAGTGTTTTAAAGTTCGCCCTTTAAGGACAACCATTTACGTGATTAAATTCTGGAGCACCACTTCAAGACCACCTTCTGACCTGCCTGGAGTGTCAGCCACCACTCCGAGCATGTGGATGCTTCGATCGGCATTGCCTCATTTAGTCATCTCGCTTTGTCTAACACTCTGAAACCCACTATTGATTACAACTTATCAGCCAATTCACCTTAGTTGAGAAGTTCATTCACACGTGACTGGACAAGCGTCCACGCAGTCAGTTTATCAAAACGAGCACTTCTAGGCCTTGTAGCGTTGCTTGTCTTGTACAATCATGAGGATTAGTGATCTTCTGTTTTGCGTCAGGCTGTCAGCAAGTAGTTCGTCGTTAGGCGCTTCGATCCGAAGTTGTTGTGGTGTGTGTTATTGGTCAGTTTGCTGCGTACTTTCAGGAACAAATCATATGAGCACAGCGTGTTCCATTAAAGAATACCGGGCAGTAGGGTCACCTGTTCCCAGAATTCGCACCTAACGGCGTGTTTGAGTGATGATTGCCTGGTCGAAGCTGCTGCTGCTGCTGTTGCATGAGAAAGGAGTCACGGGAAAGCAGCGGGAGACGCACGACCACTCAGGGCTCGCCAACTGCACGCAAGCACACAGCAGATTGGTGATCGCGAGGTGTGAGTTGCACGAGAGCACCTGCGACTTGTTGAACACTTTACTCGTGACGTCGAGAAAAAATTCATTTCAGAAATGTATTTCCAGGTGCCATGGTCAAACATACACTCACGTATCACTTTGACCCAGACAAAATGTCGGAAATTTCACGTTAAACTGGTGAAAAGGTAATAGGGTAATTGCCTCAATTTTTGTAAAACGGATTCGTGGAACAGAGAAAGTCGGCTTCACATATCGGTCCATTCTTGACCGACCGAACCGTTGCCAAAAACAAAGCAAAACTTCAAAATGCCATTTTACCGATTTAATTGATATTTGTAGAAAGTTCTTAAAGTTGACTGTAGACACGGAAAATTCTGCGTGAAAGTGCCGCAACAAACATCAGCAGTTACTGTTGTCTGTAGAGCAGAAACTGAATCTAAGGCCCCACCCTCAGGCCACGCAAAAATCCACTTCTCCAAAGAGCGTTTCTGACGAAACGGGCAGGTTAACACTACGAGTGTACGCTAAAAGGCTCCACTCACTTACTCGCATTGGTCTGAAGTTCGTAATTTCGCGGTTATGTTGACCCGTTATGCGGAGGTGACAGTGAGTTGTGCTGACACCACTTGCTGGAACGAAGGGGTGCCACTATCAAAACACCGCCGGATCAAACCCAGTCCTTTACCCTCCCCTTCGCCGAATCGCCGCGAGTCCTTGCAACACCTGACCGCGCGTCCAGGGGACACCCAGGCCTTTCCCCTCCATTCCTGACCCCCTCCCCCCGGCGGTTCGTCCCCCGCCCACCGTCCGGCGATCTCGTCGCAAATTGGAATAATAAACATTACGCGATTTAACAAAGTGGTGGCCCACGGCAAATTATGCGGTGAACCGTGGTATTTAAGGTTCCGATAAACATGCGACACTTGCTGCTTGATCCAACTGACTCCATCTCACGTTAGCCTCAGAAAGTTAGTCTCACATTTTTCATATAAAACCATGATCGTCATCAGTGGAAGTTATTGCAACCTCAAGCAAACTCTAGTTCCTGTGGTATTTAACTACGAGGGCAACCCACGAGACAGGCCGCTCTTAGTAAAAATGATGATGCTAAACTGATGGCCATGGACATTCTCATGACAGATGCGATATCTGCAGGCTGGCATGCTTGGCTCAATCATGTGTTGTCACGATCCTCGTTCCTCTTCCACCCCGCCACCTCATCGACGATCCTCATTTGCCCGCTAAATATGTCGATTCTATGGCTGCAAAGTCCGACCTTCCAATTGGTGGGCTCAAAGTGAAGCAAGGTCAAAAGGTTGCTGCTAACTAGTATGACCGACACAGGAATCAAAGTGAAATTTGCAAGGGGAAACTGTCGAGAGTCACAGGAGAACAAAATCGGCTCCTGTTAAGTTGTCGCGGCTTTGTTAGCGCTGCCTTGCAACTCTGCTGGAGGACAGCCCGTAACAGCCCGAGGAGAAAGGCAAGACCGATGATAGCGAATACAACGCTTTGTTTACATTCGACCACCCAAATCGTTCATGGCACAGCGCGTGAGTGCATCTCGAACGTCAAGTGTAATCGAAAATCAATGACATTCAATCTACTCGTGAATACGCCTAGCTCGCGCTCGTTTGATGAAAGCTCACGCCACAGTAACCGTGACTGGATGGTAGCACACAGAAGACCTTGGGATCTCAGGGCTGTTGCTTAACATTGTATGCGGATATCAGTTATAGAGCTTGTGCTCAATAAGTGAAATTACATGGAATTCAACCTGGTGCAATAACCCACCTGTCCATCAACCCTGGTTCACACGAATCATCACCCACATGTTCACACACGCGCCCTCACCACACTCAATCCCACACACACGACTGTGGCGACACCAAGGGTTGTTGGTTCAGAGCCCTTCTCACACCAATTAGACCACTGGGGGCGAATTTTGCCTGATCTTGCAACAGAGGTGCTGAAGTTTTCTTAAATTTCGACATATGGGTATTCGAATCAGGCAGTTACGGTCCTGGGAACCCAATGTCAGTAGGGTGCTTTACAGCACTTTTCTGTGATCAGTGGATTGTGCAGTAAAGGAACTAAACAAACTCACTTAATGACATGCATAAAAGTGAGGAAGGTGAGTCGTCAGCGCGGGAAAAACACACTTTCCCGTGATCTGTGTCGCCTTCCCACCGACAACTCATGCTACCTTTGCAGAGCGTCTGCCAGAGAGCCATCTACTCACTGCCGTTTACCTTTGCTGTTTCATGAACAACACCACTAAACATCCCTCAGGGTACATCGTTTGTTTTTGAATTAACGACACTTGGATTAGTAGCTGGAGAGGTTAACCGGGGGAAGGAAGCTAGTGGCACGGCGATGGTTGAAATTGTTGGTGATGTGGAAACGCTTGGAGCCGTGTCACACAACCTGGTCGCATCTAGTTTAATAGAACTGGTCTAATGAAAAAAGGTACGCGTAAGTTATGGAAATGATAGCCATGCGATGAGTGGGAGACGTCTTGTTGTGATAGGACTTAAAGAAGATGAGAATGTGCGAAGCTTGGAACGCAATACTTGTATTAAGAAGGCGAATGGTATTAAATAGCTGCATAGAAATCGATTAAATCAATAGACAACATAAATCTATGCAACTTCAACCAATCAATGTTAGCAACCTTAAGCATTGGGGAGCCTTCGAGCATTGCCCAAGTTACCGTCTTCAGGGCAGTTTCGCATTTAACCCTTTGTGAGCCTATTCAACTGTGGAGAACACGCCATAATATAGGCTGGTGTGACTTTGCTTGATGAAACCTCTTTCTAGATAAGACCTTTTAATTAAAAAAGTTGCATTTTTCAGGCTAACAAATGTTGGGAAGATTGCCAGCTGGTCAATGTACTTCTGATGATCCCGACGTGGTCTCATTGGGCCCCGCCTCAGCAGAAATTCAAAGCTTATTTATGAAGACGAGATCACGGAAGTCATGCTGTTAGTTGTCGAGGGAATTCATGCTTGTCTCCAAGGAAAGCCCTTTACACATTATGACTTACTGGAAGGTATTAATCTCCATTAGAACCTACGACTCGGAGTAATTCACTGCTCGATCGCAGCAGTTGCTGTAGAGCTGGGTTTAAATCGGACCTTGAAGGTTGGCTGGTGGGGTTCCGGAGCTGACCGGATGCTGTCTCAGTCCAGCTGTCCGACCTCTAGTCAGTCCCCATTGTCAACATTCCACAGCAGAAGTCGAATCCATAATCTACAAGGAAGTGATTTGGGAGATCGAAGTGTGTCAAAAGATTTCGTGAAACAAACTCGTACAGAGTGAGCCAGAAGTGACCAGACAGTCTGAAAACGCTTAACCCGAGGGGCAAGATGTAGTAGTCCTTTAAGCCATCTCCTATTATATCAAGCGTTCGTGAAACAGAGGTCGCCTGAAACGCAATTAGAGCAGGCGCCCGGAACGCCGAACGCATTCTTCAAAGCATCCAGAAGTTCTGTAAAAAACGCAGTAGCGCACAAGTTGGGACAAGTCTTCGTTGAGTTTTGCATATGAATCAAGTTTCGTTTCGCCGAGTTAATGAAAAAACCTCGGTGTTTCAGCATAGACTGAGTTCCTCGTGCATAATCTTAAATTAATGCCTGAAATAGGCATAAAAGGTATGTTCTCATTTAGACGTTGGACGATGAGTCTTTGGGAAGCACATTTTGTAAACCTTAGCAGACTGTCAGAGCAGAAGTAGACTAAACACCCCGAGTATTTCCACTATTATAAGTAGAATTTGATCTTTGTAGTATCAGGTGGCGTGTCTCCCGCATGTTTCGTGGTTTGTAAACGTTTCGACAGTAAATACACGTTCTTCAGTTGATCATTTGTCTCTGGCAAGACTAAAGAGGCGCATAGCTGCAAATATCCAACAGGCAAGTCGGTCAAGTTGACACTAGCAAATTGTGCTCGAATTAACTGCTTCGACCGAGAATGAGTTGGTCGTTCGATTGACCAACTAACTGTTACCGAGTTTGAGAATACTTTTGGCTTACGTTGTATTACGGTGTTGGAGACCACGGCACCAGTCCAATTAAGGCAAACTGATGTCCGCTGATGGAATCAACCGCTTGCTAGGTACAAAATCCATGTCTGTGAAATGGAGGATGTTGGTCAAAACAATTAGGGTTAACCTGTAAAAGTACGATTGGCTGAGCAGTCAGAAGCACGAAACAGGTAGAGTGGGGTAGGTGCGTGCACAGCAGGGAATGAGAAAGATCAACAGGGACGCCGTGAGCTGAAGGCGTGACGACCAGGTTAATGGACGTGAATCAACACGATTTACCAATATTCCGAGCCGAGGTAAGCAAAACCACTTTATCCCTTTTATCCTGGGGAGAGACAGGAGCAAATTATGGTATCTTTATCGTGTTTTAAATGCCAAATCGCTATCGGCCCCGCGGAAGCGCTCCAAGCCCTGTTTGATGGCCAGGCACCTTAGAGGCCGGTTAAGACGAAAATCTGTACTAAGAAGGTGAAGTGAAACATCCTTCGTGTCTTCTAACAAGTTACGTGACACGCTGGGTTAAATTCAGATGAACAGCAGCCAATCACAACCAAATCAATCCTTTGGCTTGGAGAACAAAATTAAGCGCTGCGGTGACTTCCTAAGTGAACAGTGAGACAGTGAGGATGCATGGAACGTGATTGCCGGGGTTAGTCCCCGAGGTCTGTCCATCGTGGGCAAGTGAATTGCGACTAGGAAATGCCCAATTGAACTGTAAAGGAACGCCGTCAGACTTACCTAGCGGTCTTCACTTCGACTTGCTAATTTCAAAAAGGAAAACCTATAAAATTAGCTAATTATTTGCTAAATAAGTAGCACCCAGAGTGAGTCAAGTGTACAGCATTGTAGCAAATCACTAATCAATGTTAAATACTTACCCTAGTAGTAGCAGCAGCAATAAAGTGTGTTGTTAACAGCCCGTGAGATAGGTAAAATGACAAGTATAGCTCAAGGTCATCAAGCCGAAAGCAAACGCTTAAATTAATCACTTCTTCGGCATTGTGGTTGATAGACTAGAAGAAATGACATGTTCTGCTAAAAGGGTGGCACACACAATCTGCTCCTGTTTCGACACAAACCATATTAATCAGCGAAGCTGGTACAACCAGTTTTGCCTACGTCGGCCTCACTGACCGTTGGTACCTGCTTCGTGTGCCAGAGCCAAATTCTAGCTGCGCGAGTGCTGCCTATTCAGGTCGCGAGGATTACCGGCAGATTCCGCTCAAAACCAGACTCACAAACTCAGTCGTGTGCTTGGCCAAGCACGGACTGTGTCACAGTCTTTCTCTGTAAATAGGCTGTCCAGCGTACTCTTTGATTGTGTTCAGCGTAGCAACTAGACGGCTTCCATACTCGTCGAGACACCTTGAGAACTTCCTCGAAGGTGGAAGTTCTGGTTCTTTTGACGAGAGCTTAACGGGCCTTACAATCTGCACACTGTATTTGAAGGTTTATTACGGGGTTGTCCGCATTTCAGTAGAATCGATGCAGTATTTTCCATCCCGGAACCTAGAATCGGACGCAAGGAAGGGCGAGTGTGAATATAGAAACCAGTCCTCACGCGATATCACCTGGTAATTCCAGGTAAAATTGAGAGAGAGAGATCAAGTCCACAAGCCACTAAATGCAAGCTTCGCAAATTCATACTTCATCAAATGATTATAGGCTACTGAGCATATCAAATTGCTTTCAACAACAAACGACTATAAGTAACCCGGACAAAGTATTTCCCTCGCAGTTGTCAAAATGCTCTTTATAAACACGAATTACCCTCAGCATTCGAATGGGGTGTTGCATGTGCAACTTCTCGTTTACCCTCTCCCACGACGCGAGTGACTCGTCGTGAGTGTGCGAGGTCGATTAAATGGTAAATCGGCGTTACTTTTGTTTCACCATAACTATTTCAACTCATTTTTTTCCTCTGCCGACTGCTTGGGACGTCCAATTGGTGTATTCTACATGTTCTCACTGACACATCTGCCTCTGCGATTCGTGCTACAACATAAGCACGCTTAACAGAAACTCAGAACGCTTCCACTACTGAGGGAGATCGTGGTTTTGGATTAAAATTAGGACCACTCACATTCCGTTTTCGCATGTCGAGAGATACTTGAAGGTGTAAGCAGCTCAAATAAATTTTCAGACTTGTAATACTCCTTATTAAGTGTTTTTCCTACCACATTTAGCAAATGCACCTACTTGCCAAATTGCAGAAATTTTTTGTCCCCAATTAAAAGGTGTTTTGATTTCTGGTTGTGACAAGTAATTTGAGGTTTCAGTTCTGCAATAATTAGTCTTGGATTTGGTGTGAAATCAAAGGCAACTGAATTAATCGATTGGGCGCAACTCATTATTGAACCGCAGCGAATGTGACACGACGACGCTTTAAAAACGTAGCTACATATCCCTTAAAATGCATCAAGGAAATCCTTCCGGATTCAATTGGAATAAGTTGCTACATTAAGATCGGTGCAAAACATTTCATTCATTTGTTGCATTTTAATTTCAAAAGTGCAAACTTGACTGTGATGAAAGTGTGCGTTTTGCATTCCGGTGGTGAGCTGTACACTCTACTGGCACTAACTCAGTAGCGTTGAAGCGCAGAGCAATTAATAGATTGAAATGTAACCACGTCGTAGTAAAACACACACCCTCGCCCACAAATCTGACATGTGTCCTTCATTCGTGAAAACTAATGTAACTCATCAGAACGTCCTTCCACTCCCTGCACGTTTCCACAAAATTATCGCTAGGATTGACGTCTCAGCAAGTTGCTGAAGCCATGCGTGCCTGAGTCTTAGCTATTCGGCAGTATGTAGATGAGCAATGATGGGGTAGTTGTGTTGGTTGTAGGCAAGGTACTTGGTAGGAATCGGTTCCCACCATTGCTCATTCCTATCCACCCCTGCAGCTGACAGTTTAAGGTCTGCATGGAGTTCTATCACCCGAGGTGGCTTGCTCACAACTTGGCATTTAAATGGCACAATCAGACATTACTTCATTGATAGGCTTGACCACCAACAATGCCTTAGCCGAGTCCTCAATATTGAAATAGGAGAGAGAGAGTCCATGAGGTGGGAATTGGTTTAATTTTTTCAGACCACCTATTCGTCCTTCACAATTAACATACAACCTTGCATGTGCAGGAGGCGTGGACAAGTCAAGCCCGCGATCCTGAGAAGTGGCTTCCATGAAAATTCCTCCAGTGCTGAATCCTACAATAAACAAACAACGAGATGGTATTTGCTAAACGCGGCAAGTGTCAATTCGAGGAACCTACGTCCACTTCTGTCTCCGGCGAAAACTCCAGCAGGTCGCCACCACCGCCTAAATGAGGAGGCATATCAAATTAATATTTTCGAATTGAACTAAGTGCGTACAAGTGACAAGACTTCACTGCAACAACGAGTTCATTTTTGCAGAAAGCAAACTGCAAGATCCAGAACCGAGATCTCGGGTTTCGGTTTGCTAGGACTATTTGTGTGACTTTTAAATAAACTTAAATGGTTACAGAACAAAAGGGAATATAATGCAAATCATGCAATCGAGCATGATCACACGAGCGAGTCTCACCTGCCAGTAAGAGGTTTCCCTTGAACTCTACCAAGGAGATCGGGCCGACGTTGTCTTGTTCCAATCCAGCAAGTTTTGTCCACTGCCCTGTGTCCCGGGCATTAGAGGGCACAGAGAAGCTCTCGAGGGTGATTTGTTGCCCGTCATTCCCCCCAGCAACGACCACACGACCACGGAAATGGGCGACACCTGGAGTGGTGCGCCATTCTAACATTGGAGCGAGCTTTCGCCAGTAGACATCCTTGGTCGGAACACCTGAGCAATTGAGCAATTCGACAAAGTTCACCTTGCGTTGCATGTGGCTTTGCCACCCACCGATCACAATCGCGCCAACATCGGGCACGCACACTGCCGAACAGTCTGAGCGTGCGGTAATCATATCCGGCAGTTTTTCCCACCTTCAAGGAAACCAAATAACACCACGATTCGTATTTAGTGACCGGCCTGCCTCATTATTCTGCGTATTGAATTTATCAAATGTTGTTGCAGTTGCGGTGGAAATGAACGTGGATATTGGCTCCAGATGAATGTTTCTGTTGGCACAGTGAGATACCACTGTGGCGAGCAGCAAGCCGACGCAGTTAGCAAACATGAGCGAACACGATTCAATCGATTTTTCCGTGAATGCACTTCACACAACTACGTGCGTGCAGAGATCAATGCTTAGCGAAGCTGTATAAACGCACTTGTTACCCTGTACAAAACACACTCCGCTTCTGCATCAGGAAATTGGTTGAGCTACGCGCCATCTGCATCCTTTTCTACTATTTTTTAGGTCGAGCCTTGTTAGTGTATATCCCAGCCCCTGGTATGGTTCCCCAAAACCGCAGCGGGGCCCACTACGTCACGATTACTGCTAACGTGATCCCACCTGTCATTACAAATGACATAGGCTTCACAAGAACGCAAATCAGATCCATTTGCACGTCCGCCAAACACGAGGAGCTTTCCACCAAGGATGGCAGCACAATGCCTCAGCCGTGGAGAGGCCATCGACGGCAACTCGGAGACTCGACCATCACGGATTTCCACCAAGTTAGCCATGTTGCTCGGTCGGCCATCGTTATCCTCGCCACCGATTAAAAAAATGCAACCTGCAAAAGAATTACATGCAAATGTTCACCCACTAAACCCTTCATTATGCTAACGTACCCCACTTAGACAGAAGCACACAATTTCGACGTGCTTTCAACTTGAAGTTAAGATTAACATGCGGCTGAAATTTCAGAAAATTTGAACTTGACAGATATGCTGAATTGTCACTCGGTAAGTCATAAGCAATAATGTAGTCATTAAGGACTTCGCCGCTAAAAGGAAAAAATCAAGTCAGACAACAGAGTATCAAATCGATGCAAGTGAATCAATAATGTGGATGGTTGTGAATAACCGGCATTACCCAGCAGCAGGTTTCATGGAAGACGCGATCTTTCGTGGAACGTTCGATTTCGTTGCTAGCTTCCACGCATTAACGAGGTAGTTCCTAAGTAAAAACACACCCATGAGTCCACAGCCAACCAATTAAGCAGAAAGTTTCTCACGAAATGCAATTTGTTGTGATGAAAAGTCAAATTCACAAAAATTCTGCAACTGCTAGCGGAGAGAAATAAGGTAAGTACAGGTGAACATGCGGCCTTAATAACCCACTTGGATTCCACCGGCAGATTCATTACGCACTTCGATGTGCAAATGTCGACAAAATTGTGTGAGGAAATTCTTCCGAGTTCCACAGCTCCGACAAGATCTTTGAAGGCGTTAGCATTGTCCTCTGGGTTTGCAGCTTCGAACCACGTCGTGATAGCCCGTAGCTTTGAGCACTCAGACACGCCAGTGAGTCGAATGTCCTTAACCAAGGCGACGAGATATTCGGGATCAGTGGAGGAAGGAAACATTGGGAGTCCGGTGAAGCCATAAAAATCGCCAGAGATCACAGGCACGCAGATACTCATTAGCTCACCGTTCATTGTAGCGTTTGCGATCGACCAGAAGACTTCCACGTTGTCTTTCGATAGCCTAATTTGGATGGTTTTGAATTCGATAAATGGCTGTGCCATTTATCATACCATGGAATGTGGGAATAATATGTGCTATGCTATCTAAATGTCAAAATGCGCAAACGCGATTTAATTGCTAAACGAAAGCTGCATTCGCGTTTTGAACTACCTGGGTCCAAGAAACTCAATGCATCCCGATGTGAGAGTGGAGCAGCCCAGATTTGTCGACAGCAAAAAGAGACAGGCCACGTTGCTCATGGTAATTTCGACGCGTCCAGTGTAGGCAAAAGTGATAGCATCCTCCACAACACTAAAACGCATCGCGTGTAATGAATTGTGCTTGAACTCACTCCGCACTGAAACGCCTCCATTCCATACAACCTCGTTCATCCGCCGTCACAGCGTCCGCGATGAGTGGAAATCGCGTAGCCAGCAGAAAACGGCTAGCTAACACGTTACGTCCGTCCTTCGACTAAGCTGCCACTGAAACCCAACCTGGTCAACTTACTACAATCTTGAAATCAAGCAGGCTTTTGCAATGCCGCAGCTTCTCAAAGCGGTTAAAAGGCATGGGGCTGCTCGGCTGCTCCACGAAAGTCCACTTTTCTGGCAGCGCCATTTCGCAGGCGAATCTACGTTAACAAACACACAAATTAAATGACAGAGTTACATCAAACAATATCCATGAAAACCGAGTTACCAAGCAGCGCGTTACTGGCACTACACTTACTTGTATGCGCTTGTACAATTGGTTTTAAGGCAGTCCGTAGTGACTCCTCTGCACCTCTCTGATTTGGTTTTCAACATATGAAAATGCAGTGCGGAATGGCGTGCGCGCGCTCATATTAAATGAGAGTGACGTGAAGGTGTGCAACGCAGTTGAGTCATGGATCAGCTTTGTTAGGGTGTGCAAATTACGTTGGATGGGACCTCCAGTCAGTCATATGACCCAATTTTTCTGAACAAATCTTCGGTGGTTTTTAAATCAGTCGACAGCCTAATTTGATCTCACAACCGATTGGGAGGGACGGGCAGTGACAAATAGCCACACAAAGTGGGCAATTTTTCCCACATGGACGCTTAGCATCTCAACACGCGCAGTTAGAACGTTAAGAGCGGTCTTTAGCTCAGAACATTCACGCCAAATAAATGTGATACACAACTGATGGACCACATTGTTCTGTCGGTTAAACACTCCAGGCAATTGATTTTCCAATTTATTGGTTGTTTGTTTGGTTGGCAGTATGGACTGAATTCATTGAGCTCTTGGCACTTTTATAGTGAATGAAAGTGCATCAAGTGCCTCAACATCGGACTGGCACAGTTGGAGTGCATCGACTGAGTTGGCAATTACGGGACGTTGAACTGTGAATCGATCGACCGCGGTCCCAAACGTTTACTACCTACTGATCTGCCAAGGGATCATCACACACTTCAACCACAAGCGCACTTTCCAAACACAATACAAAGGCTCGTTCGTTGATTTTCCACATCCGTAGGGTGTAATTTTGTTTGGGAAGGAGAAGGTTACTGTGCCGAAAACGTAACAAATTTATGTTAGTTTCTGTATTAGAAACCACCTTTGTCAGGATAATGTGCGAGTGTGGCAGTCTTGACCAATGTTACCGAAACAGTTAAGCAAAGAAGAACCAAATATTACGAGAAACTTTACTCAAGTTCAGGAGACTTCGCGAGGTATATGGAGCTGTCGACACGTCCAGAATCTTCCTTGAATTCATTTACTTTTTCCAAAGTCATCGTTTTTACTCACCGCTTCACAGTTCCTAATCCAACATTCCAAATCACGAGGATTTCCACCCTCGACAATCAATTCGAAAGTTTCTGACATTTTGTGCAAATATTTTTCTAAGTTAACATTCTGCGGGACAAGTCCTACGTAATGTAGCCGTCAAATATTTCTATGAATTCGTGCTCGAATTACGAGGACAAATATCGAAAAAGCAGATGCGCGGAAGAATCCCCTAGTGGGAAATTGAAAGGTTTTTATCCTTTCACGCCTTACTATGTATCACACGCACACGCCACACAGGATTCTTGAATATTTGGTTAAAAAAGCTGAAGGCAGAAGAAATTTGAGAGATTTTTGAAGGAGAAATTTATTTAGCTTAGGGACTAGGACTCAACCCATACCGCTATGAATGAGGGTACAAGTAACATTTTCCATTTTATTCTCATTTTCTTCGTTGTCTTAGTGTTCAGAGGCACTCGATAAGCAGCAGACTAAGTCAGACTAGTAGCAGCACATTTACTGTTTACTTGTAGCAAATGAATAAATACAATTTAAAAAAATTACAGGCACCGATTCATGTTAGTGCAATATATAATATTTGAGCTGCTGCTCTAATTTTTGACGCATATTATCTCTGTGATATTATCTTCATGAAAAAAGCTGCAAAAACATTATTACGAAAATGAATAACGATATAATCTGCAGTAAAAATATGGGAGTCAAGGTTGCTTGGCAAAAATAAATGCAAATTTTTTTTCGAATAAATGCATGACGTACACGAAGGTTCGAAAATAAAAATTGAAGAAGGCAATATCAAATTCTGCCATCCATGAAAGTTGTCGAAGCCAAAAAATTTTTGCATGAGTTAAGATTTGAGTGTATTGTGAAGAGATTTGTTTCAGAGATAGTCCTGCGAATCGATAAATCGTGCGTAGTGCGGATACAAAGGCAGGCAAGTTGCCAAGGGTACTTGACATATCTGCGGTGCTGTGTAAGTGCCAAAACTTTACGAAAATCTCGGATTTAAGTAAAAATTAGACCAAAATATGTAAACAAAACACGTGTCTTCAGTGACAAAATTTTGTGGTGTCGAATAACGCAAAAACATCAACCTCAGGGGTGCACTGTTTGATTCGGTGTGTATTGTGAGTTCTCGCGATTTGCATTAATTTTCCCAATGAAATATACTACCTATCGTATCCCTGAAACTCTGGTTATCTTTATTGGAACTAATTTGAATTCTTTTTAAGTCAAAATAGCACGTACATATTAGGTCTAAGGATAAATTATTGTTAATTAAATAAGGTGAGAGTAACTCGACATCTTCCTTTGATTTCCTTGTCATCTGTAAATGCTCTGCTTAACAAAACTGAAAAAGAAATATCCATGTAACAAGTACATATTGGTCCTGGAAAGTTGCAGAAATATCCAACAGACGCAGTAAATTCATGGATTAAAATGTCTTACCACTTTATCAAGATTTAAACTTGTTTGTACAATTCACATCTGACAGGGATGTACATTTATTAATTGCTTAGACCCCTAAGGCTTTCGCCTTTACCTTCATTCAACTGCAATGCTAATTGCCTTGTGTTCCTGAACACATGCGGTTTTATATTCTTCTTCGATCGGCCTTATGGCATTTCAGCCAACACGCTGTTCCCTTTACATACAGTTTCACGCTTTGTGACACGATATCTTGCCACGGGCGGTTAATAAAACATTATCCGACTATAAATTTTCTTGCGTAAGAAAACAGTTTTATAAATCCACCCGCCATTTCGATTATAATCCTCTGTATTTCAGGTGATTTTCACAATACTTCTTTAAATGTCGGCCCCTGTAGATGGATCATTTGTAGAGGTTGACACTGTAGGTAAGCGATCAAAGTTTCTTTACTAGTACTCAATTATTAGGAGGTAGGTTCCAGATGATTTCCGGTGACACATCAAAATCATCCCATCAATGTCCCCATCACGCCCACTCACACCACAAGCCTTGTTCAAACTGCGGACATCACAGTCATGAAGGACAGCAACTACCGATATCTCCCGAGGACTCGCTTTTAAATAGTATCAGATCTCACTGGATTATAATGCCGTTCGTCTTGTTATTTATTGTCAAGTTGGCTGTCGTGCATTCCACAGGCAAGTCGTGTGATGAGCTACATGTTATGCTCTAGGCCTTTGGGTGGTGATATGCCTTTTCGTATGTTTTTTCTACCTCAACAAACGTTTGACCAATGCGACTCAGGGAGTAAGTCAATGTTTTCAAAGTTTTCACCTTCCCTTCAGTTCGAGCCTCCTATTTACGCACTTGCTGCCTCAATTATAATATGTGCTTCTGTGGTATTTATGCATTATGTCTGGGTCTTCAGGGAAAACGAAATCTACCTCGGGTAAGCTCATTTTACTTACTAAGTGGAAGTGGTTCTCGGTGGCTTGCTGTATAGTTTTCAAGCCTTGCGTGTTTCTGAGTTTATAGCGATTGTTGGAAGCACAAAACGTCAAGTATTAAGTATTAATATATTAGAATAAAACAGCGCATGACGAGAGAGTATGCAAATTCTTCACCATTATTGTGACTATTCTTTTGATAGCAGTCCTTATTATTGTGTTGTTAATTTTTCTTGTCTTCATTCAGTTTGATTTGCTTTCCGAACAAAATTCCAAGTGATGATTGGGTTTCCCTCCTCTGGGCTGTGATAGTTGTGGACTTCAGTCTCAAAATCTTCACAATGTTTGTGAAATCACTCCTTATCTTTCTTTCCTCAAAGTCGATGCGAATTTCCACTCGCGTAAGTTGCGAGAGTCAACGCTTTCCGCCAGTTAACGTTGTGCAGTCAATTTACTGAATGCATTTGTTTATTTTCAGCGCTAGTTTATGCTTTTAGAACCTTTTTGGCTCCTTTATAGCAATTTACTTATTTCATTCATATATCGCCACTTACTTCAAAATCAACACCGCTTACAGATTATCTACGGTTCTAGCCATTGTCAGCATTTTAAAGAGGATGCCACCGTTTGATGTGAATGTCAATACGTGCAAACACGGGGGAGCTCACCTCACGACAACTTTCATCTAAGGCCGATTTTCTGAATTGTGGCTGTTGTTGCTTTTCGGTGATGGAATACTTAGCTGCCCCTTAACACCTCCCATGTAATCTTGCCGGAGGATGCTCAAGTGTTTAGTCCAAAACTGGTGACTGTCTAAGCATGTTTGTGCAGCTGAAAGCAAGTCCATTCCCGTTGAGGAGGGGCGTTTCGACAACAAAGCCGGCAGCTACCAATCTCCCTAAAGTTGCATGATTCCTATTAATTCGCGGCATTTGAAAGGAGGACTAGGTTTTCGTGTTTCAGGCAGTCCACTTGCATTCATATGATTGGATGCCTGTCACCATAGCGTCAGTCAACTAAAACATTAATCCGGTCCCACGCACTGTGCATTAAAACAGCAATGTTATTAATTTGCTTGAGTTCTCATGCTAAATAAGGTACATGTATGAACTGCCAGCGTCGTAGACACAGCTCAAAATGGCCCAAATCGAAATTTATGGTTATTCGAATTAATAGTACGAATTGTCCGCACAGCACGGGTGTTAATTGGATATGAACAGCTCAGTTTACAAAGTCCCAGCCACTTCAGCTGAGCTTCTTTTGAACTCTCAGTTGCCCGTTCACTTTGTCCGCCGAACTTTTCAAGCCACCATGGCGCTGAAACACGAGTTAGTTGGGTATTCGTGGGTTTAGCGTGTAGCCTGTATGACGCACCCGAATTCGCCACTGGTCGAGTCTAGATTGACAATTTCGTTGAGAGTGTTCTACTACTGTTGAGCTCACGTGTAGTCTATCGAAATGCAGTAAAATCCACTGAAGACTTGGACATTTGCCGCCTACCTTACAGCTCCGATATTGGTTAAAATCCATGCTACCATGGGTCAGATAAACCTGTGAGAGGGGGGGGGACAGGCCCTCAGCGCTAGATCATCTTCCACGAGAGCACCGCGTGCTCCCGCCCTAACACCTACTTGTTATCCTACTTGTAGAGTGTCGTCCTAGTCTGGATTGAGTTCATCTCCCAGGTCTACCGAAACATTCCGCCGGCAGTTTCGTGGTTCAGGCATTTGAGTGCGGACAGCTCTCCAGCGGATCCGCAGTCACTGGGCTCTCGCATCTTCTTCTGTATTTTGTACGGCCTTCTTAAGGTGTGAATTTTGATCTGTTCTAGCAGCGGCCCTCGTTAATGTGCCCTCTTCACTGTTGAGAGAAACCTCTCAAGTAGAACTGAGCCCTTTGTCGCTCAAAGCTGGGAACAAAGTCGGTAAAACCAATCGATGATGTGGTTGTTGGTAGGATCTACGCAAACCGCATTTGGATAAGTTATTGCATTGCCTTGGTGTCGAAAAAACCAAGGATCGCTTTTTACCTAATCACTCAATCGCAGACTCAATTTCCTAGTTAGTCCCTGTGGCTGGAGCAGTTACTTGTAGGCACTTTCTTCAGAATTGAGTCATCTGCCAGTATTTCTGCTTTTATTTCTCACTAGCTTTTCGCGTGTGGCATGCTGATCTCCAACATGCGGCCAATTTTCTCACCCCGAACTTTCGCACCGGTACGTCCTCTCCTGTTCGCGGTGAAAAACAGACGCTGATTGTGGACAGCAAGCGTCTGACTACACAGACTGTGCTTTGTTAATTCACCTCAAGGTAGCTTACTGTGGAGTCTTTATTTTAGCCCTACCAAACGAACTACGCCATGTCGACAGGCGATGAGGAAATGTGCACTTTGTGCTTTGAAAGTTTCAGTAAAACCGTCGCCGTTTTGGGCTGCAATGTGAGTTTTACACGTGTTCTGTAGCCTTTGTGAAATTTGGGCACTGCTATTCCTGGCTCTAGAATCCCATCTACACCTTGAGGCCGAGTTAGCGCCAAGTAAGTGGGGATTTTATAGGGTATAGCTACTTGTTACTTTACCTCGCGCAGATCTGTTTCTTCGTTAAGTGGGACCTTTACAGACAATGAACCGGGGCAGAGGTAACTTGTATGCACATTGCCACCCCGAAAGGGGTTTCTTATTGGCTACGTCGAGGCCAATGTTTAAATGACTTTGCTCTGCTTTTGGCCTATGGCAAAACAGTGCCACCGGTAGAACTTCCGCGTTAAATGGGCTCCTCATACCAGGCTGCTCTTGCATATCGGACCTGAATTCTCCAAAAAACAAGCACATCGAGTGTAGCACTTGGCGAGGAGGTTGCATTTCTGCAGTTGTTCGCCTATTCCGGCTAACAACTTCCATTTAAACATGTCCACAACAGTTTCCGCGAGTGCCGCTAGTCTGGCGAATGCAGCCTCATGAATCCTCGGATGCGGTAGTTAGTACCCACACCGCGCATTCGTCCAATTGAAAATAGTGGCAGTTTTGCGCGGTTCTCTGCTTTCCAAACGAATTGGCCAAGTTGCCTGTCGCTTGACCCGGCCCGCAGTAAACAGAAACCCACGTAGCCTCGCTAATTACTCATGCCATTGTAACTTAGGCAACCCTCGTGCATCATGCTTTAATTTCTGATCTATGTGAGCGTCATGCTTGCATACTGTCGTCTCTTGTCACTTGCCACAGAACCCGAACTCGGCTCAGAATGCCCGGTGTCTGGTGAAAAGAGCGACACCAGACACGGCCCTCTGGTCAACGTAGGACCCAAAATAGCTTAAGCAACGCCTCTCTGCCTTGAAATCGGTGTACATGCAACTTGTTAAGTAAACTTCGATTTCTTCGCACAGATAAACACACCGAGAATTTTGTTACGTTAGGCAACAAAAGGCAACTCGGAGCGTTATAAAACGGTGTGTGCGTGTGTGTGTTATTCGACTCCAAATAGAGTCGGAGTGTTCGCCTACCGATAGGTGTTTTGTGGGGCATTGCTCGCCAAGCGGGGTAAACAGGAATAGAACGGCAAATTTCACATCCTCCCCACGAATCTGGTTTCCAGCACACAGAAAGGGTAGAAAGTTTGAAGGCGGGATGAGATCATCATATGTCCTTTTTCCCAATATTTATCGCTTTTCAACGTTTCCTCTTATGCTTCATTTTTTTAGTTTTGCACCAAAGAAATATCGAGATATTAGTATTTCCCCTTTTGGCATGGGAGGTGAGCGAAGGACCGGCACGTCCATTTTCCAGGTCGACCTTTAGCAATCCACGCGGCACTCTAAGTTGTCTATCAGAATTCCTGAGGCACTGCATCGATACACACCCCCCATAATCGCCTTCTATACCTGACTTGTGTTTTGGGGATGATTGTTGGCATTGTTTCGAGGCCCCCTCGAGATTTTTCGACATCACGCGCTTGAAGTGACAAGGCTCGTCAGATTGCTCCAGCCCCCATCTCCTTGACCAAATTGCAGGCACAATTTTCGAGCCACATTTATCTCCTTCAAAACCACCGAGAGCTCATTGTGCTGTTTTGTTCGACGGTAGATAGGCTCAGTGTTCACCGACTGCACCCACTTTATCTTCTTTCAAATTGCAATTTTTTTTGGCGCCACTCTAAAGCTCCTTTTTGTCCTTGTTTTTGATGACGGTCCAGCACAAGTTCTGCAGGGACTGCGTGGACCGGTGGCTCATCCACTTCAACGAGTGCCCCCTGTGCTCGCACAATCTGGGCTCCGACTTCAAGGCCTGGCGCGACGGCTCCACTTCGGCTCTGGTGCAGTTCTTCTAGCCCCTCCCCCCTCCCCGCCCCTCCACTTTCCACGAAACCACAGTTTTTGCATAATTTTTCCGTTTCTGGTTTTGAATACAAAAAAAGCAAACAAGAGGCTTTTTTCTTGTGAGTGGCACCCAGTCGGGCGTGGCTTGTGGTGGATGTGTTCTCGCACAGGTGAGTCATGGATGCCTCGGACGCAAATAACCTACCACTACTTTTCAGAAGGGCACCTCGGCGGGTTCAATAACATTTTAGGTGGACGAGCGATTGGGACCACCAAGCACTGCTGTCGAAACAGAAGCGCGATAAACTGGAGCGGGTTTTTTTCCGGAATGCTGTCTTTGCATCAACCCACTCGACGAATGCTCGTAAAAGCACCGTTGATGATCACACATATGCGATGGAAGCTTTGTTCCGCTTAAATTTACTGTCAAGGCAAAATGGAAAAACCCAAGCTGCATCTATCACGTTAGACGCACCATAGTTTTGACCTAAAAATTTGTGCTCAATCAAAAAGGCTCGTGACGTGACGTTCACGAATATCGCGGCCGCAGTCGTTAACTAGTCAAGGCGCGCCGTGTGTGACCGTGGCTTTTGGATGTATCCAATTAGCCTCGAATGGGGAAAGTAAATGAAGAGGAGAACCAATCACCACGCAGTGGTAGAATGCACTCAAGAAACACGCTGCTTGTAAGGCGCACAATTTGGACACAGGCTGTGGATGGCGAACGGCCACTCCAACAGTGGGCGACGCAACCCCGAGAGCGCGCTCCCGTGTCCCGGCGCCCGCTTGGTTCGGCCTTCCGTCGACGCATTCACAGGACAGTGGTGTGCTGGTGTCAAAGCTGTATTGATTGAAATAGATACGTAGGAAACAATACACAAATGAGGGGAGTCAAGCCAAAAGACGCACAGTTCACGATAAGCACTGATGGAAAACGTCGCGGCCTCTCAAAAGAGAATTGCAAATAATGAAAACCTATAGAAGGAGGAAAATGTGGGGGTTAGTGAATAGAAAAGACAAGCGGTTTCAGTGCTGTATTTGACATGCTCCGCAGTGCCGCTGTGGGCAACGCTTCCGCGCACCCAGTGAATCGACCAGGTGTCGATTACGAGTGGAGTTCCAGCAGTCAAAGATTCGCAACCCATATGGGGCAAACAAGAGGTACCACAGCCTGCAAATCCGAGTTCACACAGCGCTTTGTACCAAAACCAGCCTCCATAAAAGAGGCCAAATGGAGTCTCTGGCCTAAGAGTAGCGGATGCTTCTTGTACACGAGTCTATTGAATTGGGTTGATTACCAAGCACTACACCTGGAGCCACTTCAATAGGAACAGCATACTTATGCACCTCTTTCTCCACTGCCAATGTATCTGTCACGCAATATGACCTACTTCTAAGGGCTCTTTGGTATTCCGTGTAACTGCGGAGATAATGTTCCTCGCCAGCGTCCATGTAATGGTTCCGTGGACGACGAGAATTACCAGCGAAGGAGTGTAGGGTTGTGGCGACCTCCGACCAACCACACCGCTCATGGCAATCAATTTACTAAAATAAATTCCATCGTTAGTATTTTAGTAGCAAAAAACACTCTAGCCTTAAAGAACAGAAAACGCTTGCTAAGACAAGATCGTTTGCATTCTAGGCATAGCTGTCTGCCATTTCTTCATGTTTGGGTGTATCTTCTTGAAAATTGGTATGGAGGACATATATCACCTTGTTTTTAAGGAACAGAACACCGAGCCACGCTAAGTTACTCGACAAATATCGGGTCAGAATTAGGAAAACGAGTAGATTTGTGAAATCCACGGCTTCCTCAATAGCGACAAACGAACTCGAGACGGGCATAAGCGGTGCAGAGGCGAGAGGACGAAGGCGAGGTGTCACACACACAACTATATTGACAAGGCGTGGGAGCGTAGGTGCTGCGACGCCAACCCGCTTACCCGACGCTTGAGAGGATCGTGGGATCCGAGTGGGTCGTGGGCCAGTGCTTGAGCGACTGGAGGGCAGGACTTGCCGACGCGGGGTCCTGGTGTGCAGCGGCGAGGTCTCGGAACATCTGCACCACCGGAGACACGAGTTGTGGAAAACCGACATTCCTTACACTCTCCCTGTCAACACAAATACCGTAAAGACTGGATAAGAAGACGTTGGCGGTGTGAAATCGAAATGACGCAAAACCAACAAAACGGCAACAATTATTAGTCTTGCTGAAAAAAGAATAACCTTACCGATAGGACGGTAGCAGATGACGTCGATAAGCCGCAGCCAGCGTGCTACGTCCGATGGATTCTGGCGAAAAGTTGTTGAAGAACCTTTCTAATAAAACAAATTTAAGCAGTCAGTGGTTGAACTCTGCTGAAGCATCCGTCAGAAGCGGGCGACTCACCGGTCGAAGTGCCCTTGGAGGCGGGCGAGGACAGGCCAGCTTCGAAGATGCCCTGGGAAGAAACGAGCGGGGTTCGTTTTTTTTCGCATTTGGTAGTGAAAACAAGGAACCTACATCGATGGCTTCAATCAGCTGGGCGTTCGGTTTCACACTCGGATTACAGCCACGAGACGGCAGTAGTCCAACAAGGCGGATAAGCAGGAGCAGTACTTCATCCGGATTGGTCAGTTGGCTGGGGGGAGGGGGGAGGAGGAGGATGCGTGAGGTGAACAGTGACGCCTTTTAGTGCACACCAACGGTGGACAAAAACACACCACAATGTTTAACTATCGTGTTCTAATGGGACTTCTTCGACGCCCATCGGCTCTTTCACAGTCGTTGTGTTCACCGGAGCGTTTGAACATGCACTGGTGACGGTTTCACTGCAAGCCAGGACTACAGCCGGCATGTATGAATGTCCGATGAACCTTACACTGACAAAGATTACCTTCCAAATTTAGAAGCCTCGTTACCACGTGACACGTAAGGGAGCGGGTTCGCGTGGCTAAAGATGCATCGACTGAGGTTACACGAAAAGCGTCGAGAGATCAGCTGAACCCTCGCACAAGTCAAGAGTTGGAACTCGGTAAAAAATACCATTTGGGTGAGAAAAAGCAATTACTAGGCGTCCTTGATGGCATTGAGGAGTATGGGCCGGCAGTTTTGCAGAGCGTCATCATCGGTTAGCGAGGCTACAGAGGCGTCCTCAGAGTGAGCCAGCATTATGGCGTTCTCGTATTTGCGCAGAAGGTGATCGATATTGGTCCGATTTCCAGTGGAAGACAGTGGCTGCCGACTCTCTATTAAAGCATCTTCGGCCTTTGAGATATCGGCGGCTTCCGCGGCCGCCAGACCTAACTCCACAACCGGAAGGTAGTCGTATTGTTTAGTTTCACACAGTGTACTAGAAGATAAGAAAGTACACCTGATAAACACGATGTCACTGAAAACTGCCAAGTGTAGGAATAAATTGATTCGAAAAAAACTTTTCACCTGTGTCAGGGGCACGAAACAATGGAGTAACAAGGTCAAGAAGTGACGCCTTTTCCCGGAAAGATTCAAGCAGAAATTTGGAGAACGCAACCTCTTGAACTATCCCAAACTTCGGTTAAAACACGCAGAATTGATTTCAGGCAGCCGTTTAGCGCTCTCCTACTACACTCAGAACGGTACGATTCAGAAAGACGAGCAAGCGACAGTGATGCGGCGAATAAAAAGGTAAGCTGAGGAGCCCACATAGGTGTCAAAAGTAGCCTCTCAACGGTTTGGTTCGACAGCGCCACTTCAACATGCCGTAACTCCTCAAACAAACAGTCTACAGGTGGATTTCAATCAAGCTAAACAATGTGCAACTCGTTTTACTAGTGGTTTTGTTGGAACCCTTTCCTTAACCCCCCAGTAGCGAGGTGCATGAAAATCAAAGTCGAACGGTTCGTGATGATGTGATGTGTCCAACGTCTTCAGAGCTGACGGTTCTCTAGCAGGAAACAGGAAGCAAAACTCGAAAATCAGAAAAAGCATATCAAGAGATTACTCATTTGTGATAGAAGGCTAGCTAGGTAAACGCAATCAGACCGTCATTTAGCAGCATTTTTCTAAAAAAAGGATTACTAAAAGTACACTACACGTGTTTACTGCTATGCAGGTACCCACATAGGTTATTTCAATAATAACAAAATGACATCGAGCATAATATACATTCAAGACAGACCTGAAAACAGCAGCGGGAATTGCTTGGAGCGGCTCGGCGCTTTTCACTAATTTATCAGCATTAGGAGCATTCAAGGTGAAGGCGACGTCTAACAGCGCCATTTGGATTAGCTTCACTTCCTCCTTAAAGTTGAAAAAAGAGCCTGGCGTGAAAGTTGAGCACCCGAATTACAGCTTTTACAACGTGCTGATGACTTACGACCTGCTTCTGGCACAAAAACAAATCCTCTAGTAACTGGCGACCGGCGTCTGATGTGCACATAGCGAGATTGGTTTTCAAACTTGGGAAATTTTTCCTTCCACTAAAACATGGGCACAAATGAGATGATGCATGCAGTACCTTAGCTTGCACCAATCGACGAGCGTGTGTCCCTGCTCAGAGCATGGTAAACGCGTTAGAATCTGATCCATGATGCTTGCAGAACGAAGGTATGGCGCAACAGCACTAACAGGATCCCATTGCCACAAGTTGTCAATGCAGATAACCGTCGCCGAATCGGTGATTCTTTTCTGAGAAAACAAATCGAAATTAAGAACAACGGTGAATGCTTAAGCAAAAACGCATTTCTACGAAAAGAGCTTCCATTAGCGAATATTCACCAGTACATAAGATTGAATAATCCATTTAGTCATTTACGCAGGAAGGTAGACTTGATAACCAGTTTGTTCTACAGACGTTTGGTGAATAACAAAAACACTGAATAAAATGATATTTCATGTTAAGATTATTTCCGTGTAAACAGAGTAAAAGTCAAAAGGATATTAATTAGCATTGGTGAATAACAGTAAAGACTAATGCTGTTAGATTGAATTAATTCCTGGCTAAGGGATAATTGAGATAAAAACCTCTGTTTCTGAAGGTAATCAGCAACAAAAAACACGACTATGATTTGAGATTTTTAATTCACTAAGTAGTAGGTCTGTAGGAGCATGATTAAAAATTTTATTTAAAGAATCTCGAGTGGCTAGTTTATGATATTTTATAACGAAACAAAATATATCAATCTAGTGGGGTATGAAAGATATCTCAGTGGTACTTACCGGAGGCTCAGTTGTGTCTTGCTGCCTCCTTGAGTCAACAAATGCATCGGTAAATTGCGATTCCGGTAAAAACGAATAGATGGCAATATCCACATCCAACTGCCGGATTAAACGGTTGGCCAGATGACAAAAAGCCTTCATAGAATCCTGGCGAAGTTCGCATACCCATGGCGAAGAGAGCTTGGCAATGAATTCAGTACTAGCGAGGGTTTTTGCGACACGGGAAACGGGTTTTTGTTGTGATGGCGGCATCCCGTTCTAGGGCATCAAAATATTTGCACGAGCAAAGTGTTATGGATTCCTAAAACTAGAAGTGGAACAACCAATACAGGGCTTACTAGATTCAAAGAGACACACAAAGATTGTGATTTCTATAAAAAAAAATGAGCTGCAAAACCAGTATGGCATTCAATCTGCAAACTAATGTAAGGAGGAAAATGCGCTGAATGGTCAGATTACAATAAATTAAACAGTATAGCTATACAAGTGAAAATTTATGATCTGAACCTTCGACACAGAACGCCTAAAGAAATATTAACAGAAATGAACATTTGGCAGAATTATTGGATACAAAATGGCAAAAATTACTTTAAAGTAAAGACTTATAAGAGTAGAAAATAAAATCAGTTAAAGTAAATATAGTCATCTGGCATATACTGACAGAATCGGTCAAAATGGTTATTTAGTAAGGGTAAAAATAACAAAATTGCAGAGATGAACACTGGACAGGTTTTACTTGATGGGAAATTGTCGGTGGGATTTTAATCGAAAGGCAGAGGTTTTCCCAAAATTATTTTAGAAAGCAAAAACAGGCCGTCAAGGTATGCACGGAAATTTATGCATTCTAAAGAAAAAAAATACGCAAAATCGCCGTTAAAATTATCAACAGCTCACACGGACACTTCGTACACGAAGGTAGCCAATCCTGTGCGTTTTGATGACCTTGAAGTTGCAGCGACATTAACATGTTGATGGAGACTAAATTCGTGGATATTGTGGATCCAAAGTGTTTTAAAATTAATTTTTCTGCTTAAAATGAGTGTACACTTAAACGTTTGTGTAAACCGCGAGTCTAAAGAGCGAAATAGGGAGTTGCATGTATAATGGTATTTGAGTTAATGCTTGAACTAATTTATTTAAGTTCCAGATGTTTTTAAATGCTGAGAGCTGTCCTGGATAAATCAGGCCTGACTGACATAAAACTGTCAGGGACTATTCATTTAAATAATTTAAAAGTCATTCAATAAAGTGCCACTCCATAAAAAAGTTATCAGGACTGCAGTCCTCTCAATTAACGCGCCTAAAATTTCTTTAGCTTGTTGCAATGTTCTGCCGCAACTCATTAGCTTATCATCTAATTAATATTTGTGGTTACGTGTTCACCAGCCCCCAAAGCAAACAGATATGTATATTATTACCAAGCAGGCCTTACTCATTGGTTCCTGATGATGGAAAAAGTAAAAGATGACAACATTATTATTCCCTACTAAAATAAATAATTTTTGAGCTGTTAAATAAATTATTTTATTGACTGAATATATTTCTTTCGCAGCTGGAAACATGCTGAACTGTACAGGTATGACATTATGGTTTATGATGCTAACTTGATTAGTTTCGATACAAGTTATCAAGTATTTGCATCCTTATCCAACTACATTTCCTCCTCCAGTAATGGTCATAGTGATGACTGGTCAGTATATTTTAAGGCAATAACGTGGTGCAAATTACTGTTGGTATTTTAATTCAAAATATTTTTTTATGCGAGGTTAAACACGCGGATGACAAATAACTTTGCATTCTAGTTCACTTGCAGGCTAGAAACAATTTAACTCTCAGGATCTCCTTTAAGTAAAACTTTTGCTTTCCAAATCCACAGAACGGTCAAGGCAATCTAAAATACTGGGAAAGACCCCTTTTCACCAAGCCTTCAGAAGTTTTTTGATGCATCTGCCCTACCCATTGTGAAGCAACTGTCATGTCATTTGCTGCTTTCTAAGAATTGCATTAGCCAAACGTTTTCGTCAATAAAAGATACGTTAATTTAACTAAGAGAAAGTTTAACGCTTGATGTAAGCCATAAGTAGAACAGCTTCATGAGAAAACCTGTAGTAGGTTAGTTGGCACTAGCTTACAACCCTCTAGTTAACAGCCCGTTACAATCCTAGATTATTGGGGGGCGGGAAGAGGCGACAGAGAACACGACCGTTTATTAGTGTGAAACCAGTCATGCGCCTTTGTGTGCGCATGAGTACGCATACGTAACAGACGATTGCTAGCAGAAGCCAATAACAGAAGGGGAGTCATTGGTACACTTGAGCCATGGTACACGCATCACACATGCAACGTGGCTGACTGTCCACCACAAACCTAGAGTCTACTGAAACTTTTGAGTAGAAACAGTTGGTCGCAAGGCACAGTAACGATTGGGACTACTTGATCCCCGTTTAAATAACATTAAGTTCGTATGAATAAAGTGAGGGCTCTGCAAGTCACAAAGAGATGAAAAGGTAAACATGTAAAATTACGGCTAGGGGCTCCAAATGCCCTCGAGTCAAAATATTATGGTTTTCTTTAGTCCATAGAAATCAAAATGCTATGGTGACTCAGCAGGTTCCTTTATGCTCTGCAGCAAGTTGACTTTTATGCAAATTGTGTTTACCAATTTTGACAAAATAATACATTTAAGGAATGGTGTCTGCAGCCTGTTTATCGAGAAACAGCGTTAAACGCGTTCTACCCACTCCATTTATCTTCTTGCAGTTATTCGACCATCCTCAAACAACATTCTTATTTCCGATCTACGTTTTGTGCCAAAACACTACGCAGTTTGTGGAGAGTAGTGCCAGCAGATACCTCATCCTCATACCACCGAAATTGGCCCCAAATGTAACATGCGTTTCAATGACCTGCAATGCGACGTCTCAGAACCGAAAGCAGCGGAGCCAGATTACACCGAAATTGCGAGTCCCTTTAGCTCACCTGGTCCTCAATGCAGGACTTATGCTTGTTTATGAGTGTCTTCTGGCTGATCGATTAATCGAACTGACATCTAATTGCAGCCAAGGTCCTTGAATAGTTTGTGCCCTTTCAGTTCTTATAAACTTTGAGAACACAAACTTCTAAGCTGAAGTTGAACTTTCAACAATATTCACTTCGACTACTTTATTTGAATATGAGTCAAAATCAGACCTAAAGAGCTACCCTCAGGCACATGTCGATTGCAACACGGAAAAATTGAAGGAAAAGAAAGACATTGGCGAAAAAAGGTAACCATCAGTAAAACGTACGTATGTAATCGAGTCGCACAAACAAATTCTTGGAAGCTCTTACGAAGTCCATCCGAAACCTAATGTATGACAGTTAGCAGAAAGTTTAATCGAAATTCATCCTGAAATGGAAACCAAGGCTTTATTTGTTATGCCTCACGAAAAAAAACTACTCGGGTGCCTGACTAAACACGACATGTCATCATCCATAGATCAGAATATACTAAAAGAAGATAATGAAAATGACAGAAGCCTCATTTAAAATTATTTAGAGTCGGTACTGTTTTGAGACAAATTGCCTCCACCCTTTCCCCAACTTAGACAAAACTGCCAGCAACTTTAGCCACGGTTTCGTCCACATTTACCTCAATTTTAAAGTGTTTTTCTTCAGTTAGAATTTTCGCTCGTTAAAATTGCTACTGGTTAGTTTCCATGGGCTGGTTTCCCTTATTGCACCTTGTGCTGTCCTATTTACATTGGCCTGTAAGTTGCCATTAAACGAAAGCCCTGGTGGCCACTCAGGAACACACAGCGGTCAGATGCGCTAGCCCTCATCGGCCAATATCAAGCCCTTTAGTACAACAGGCGAAGCCGCAAACCTCGCAGCGAAACCGCCAGTTGAACATCAATGAGGACGGGAGTAAAAGGCGGCTATAATTAATTCACGACAGGCGAAACGTCGCTTTGAACAACATTTTTTTCATTCCTCGTTGAGTTCCCAAGAACAAAGGAAATTACTAGTCATTTCTGTTATTGGCGCTTTGGCTGTTTCTACGGGCCGATTAATTTATTTTGAACGGCGCAGCTCAAATGACTTATGACCACCCTAAGCTGCAACACAATTGTCAAATCTACAGAGAAACTGCCCTCAAATGCTCACATAATTGACTAATTTTATCAATTCAACTGTAGAAGTCCTCAAACATAGTTTTAATTGCATAGGATGCAGAGAAGTCGTAAAGACAGCTACGTGTGTTACCAACGCTAAAGTAGTGCTTTGTTGCTGCAGCACCATTTGCATTCAAACCATTAAAGGATTGTTGTTTAAAAGTTCGATGTTAGATTTGCTTTACTTGGGAATACACAACTTATGCTCCTTCTCAAATGAATGCGCAAAGAACCACAGGCAGCTTGCGTCCCCATTGTACTAAAACAGGTCGGACACCACGTAAACCACCGCAAACAGGCAAACGAAGTGCCAAGCCTGAGTTCATCTGCAGGTGTGCAGTCTTATTTGACTAGAAAAACTCAGTGTACAGATCGAACGGCAGATCGAGGTTCATGTGGGATTGTGTAGGCGCAGACAACACTCGCATAATCAGTTACCTCCACACCGTCCATCGTGGAGCAGCGTCAACACGTCCCCTTTACACCGCTGTACCGGCCCCCACATTCAAGAAACGGTGAAGTGTCCGTGAAGTGGGGCTTATGTATTCGCCGATCAAACGCAGACGGCAGTTCGATCAGCTAATTCGCTTCAAACTATTTACGCACGTCGAAAGTCAACATTTAACACGTCTTCACGTAAAAAAAAGACGACTACACTTGGCTGACAATTTCTTGCTGTTTGACGTGACATACTGGAGGCATTGATGCATTGCGTCGAATAATTTGTTGTGGAATTCGGAGAACCTTTTATCACGTCGAGGTCACCATTTGTTGTGGGCACCAGAATGTATTCTTGAACCACGTGGACATAACCGTTTACCTCAGAGCTCAACCACGCTGGTGTCGTTAAGCAATGTGCAGCGTTTGCGCGTGTGTATTTATAACTCAGATGTGTGAGTTATAAATGCGCTGGCATCAGGATCTAGGTATGAGGATGATCCAGGATACTCATTCGCACTAATGAGAGGAGAATTGAGGATCCGCGTGGCTACCATCATGCTGTGAATCAACACGATTCACAACAAATTCAGTAGACTGCGATCCGCTTTACCACTGCTTTTTGACTGCTTCCGATCGTACGACCATGAGCTGTTTGCAAAGCTTTCATGAAGGTATGCAGCTTCGGTAATCAGTCCTCTCCTTACAGGAACTTCTGAAGTGACTTGAAAATTACCTGTTAAAAGCGCGTAGTGCCATATTTTGGCAAGGCTAATATAAGTGTGAGATGATTAAATAACCACGATAACCAATCAAAGCAGCGGAAAAGTTGGAACTCTGAAAATATAGGGCAGTGGATGAAACACTTACTGCCAAATTAAGTTATCTGGAGCCTGAGCTCTAATTATGACAGCATAGAATCTTAATAACAAAAATTTGGAAGCGTTTTGATTCTTTGAAGAATCGAGTGATTTTAGTTGCATGCGCACTAACCCAATAACGCAATGTCAGTTTTACACGCTTTTTTAAAACAACCCATAGCAAGGCTTTTAATGGAGTACGCCTTGTCATGCTATAACGCAGGTGAGTTAAGTCGTGGCTGATCTGGCGGTGATTACAGGCAACGCAGAGGACTCTCTGCGAATGATGGCCAGGAATTTATGTTGGATAAGATTGACGGGAGACTCTACTGATACCGGAGTACTACTTTTAGTCAATTCTAAACGGTTGTTTTTCAGTTTGAAGTTTCATCGGATTATAAAAACAAATCAAGTGCAATAACTTTCCCTAAGGCGTTGTTTGCCCTTAAAAGCACACGTATCTACGAATTGCAGTTGTTTTTGATAAAATCAGTATAGAATTTGGCAAAATGTGATTAGGTTGTTTGTTAAAATCCCTTATTGGCACACTAATTTGAGGTAAGTTGATAAACCCACGTCTAAATAAAGCAGGTTTGACATTACAACCAGGACAAATTACTTCGGTTCTAAATTCTGTGATATAAGTAACCCATTGTATTGAATCGAGTAATTTTATTAATGAAAAAAAGGTGGAATACATTACCAAGGCGTTTGTTGGATGATTAAATCGAAGTTGACGGCAAGCTTTAAGCGTAATACAAAACTACCCATCAGAGGTGCCCGCACCGACCCACAAATTCCCAATAGGAGGTTATGGACTGGGTGTGAGGTAGACAGACCGCCTCCACCTGACGGCATTCCTGGCCGCATTTCACAGCTCCACAAGACGGATTTTTGCAATGCTGCTTGAACTAGTAAAAGCGTACCTTCCTAAATGCGTCAAAACACGCTTACTGAGGTATTTTTCCCATTTCATGAGAGTTAAATCGTTTAAGTTAGCCATATTCGCAAAAACATGCAGATGTCATGCCAAATTCTGCTTTCTTCTTAAAGCAATAAGTTCCTGTCCCACCTGGATCCGGGATTCTTTGTTCTGCTTTCAAAAAACTGAAGCGGAAAGCTACTTTGCAGACAGGAACATGGATAAGAAGTTGTTAGGATGAAAAACGTGAGGACAACCACTCGCGAATGAGCGATACCTTACTTGGTAGTTAACTATTTTCCCAAGTAAAATGGTATTGTTTTCGGTGGCGTGCAGCTCTGTAGTTAATGTAGGCATTATCTGCAGACAATCTATGTTAGGGCTGTTGTTTAGGATTCAAGAGGATCCCAAAATGTGTCTGTTCTAGACACATTTTGGGGATTTGTGGGCATTTGCTGGGCTTGCTCGACGATAGGCATGTTTTCAGTAGGCTCACCGTTTTCAGGCTAAATGATTGCTGCCCGTAAACGATCTATTCCAGGTGTTCAATTCGGCAAAACGGATGAAGATGGATAAGTATACGATGTGCTGCATAGAGTTGAACGGACATCGCGGAATTCAGAAAACTTAACCTGTCGATTATCCACAAGGTCATAATTGATGTGAGCTAGTTGGAATACCACGAGTGCATTCTGACTTAAATTCATGAGGCATTACCGCTGACATGACCCTTGAATTTGCAGCCCAAGTGCAGGAGATTACGGACAACGACAGTGACGAACTGCTCAGAAAAATATTGGCCGTTTCGACGGCAGTAATTAGATGACTGTCCAGATTAAGGTGGGTAATTTGTAAAACTACTTTACAGACTCGATATGACGCATTGTTGATCGTACATGATTGATTAAAAAGGCAACACACGTCGTTTAAACAGAGTTAATTTTTAAAATAGAAGCAATTTTTAAAGGTAATATTCAAATGGAATTGTACTTCTCTGACATTTCTGCCAACTGCAAAAGCCTCTTTGCCAAATTACTAAAAACCAATGCAGGTGTGTGGTGGCCGAGGCCAAATATACGTTCTCGTGCCAGGCAATCAAAATCGGTTCTGAAAACCATCTAAAATGACCGTCTGTGTAGAAGACGACGGTTCAAGCAGTGCACTTGGCCCATTTCCCCTCCCCCTCCTACTCCTCTCCTGGTGGGCGCGCAAGGTGGGGGGCCTTGTCTGGGCGGTCAAAGTCGGCTCCGTTGTACTGTCTGGCGGTGGCGGAGGTGGTGGTGACACGACGATGGGCCACAGCTCTGTCGTCTCTAGCGTGGGTGCACAAAATTCGCCTGTGTAAGATCCTGTCAGCAGTCAAAAAAAATGATCACATCTTAGCCATAATTGACAATCTACAAGACTACAGGAGATTTGAAGAAAGTTGTTCTTCGCTCTTTCGGTTTACAGACGGCTTCCGAAATACCTGTAAAGTTAGACACCGTAATGTGACTCGAATCTGTCCACACACAATCCAGATTATTCTATGCCCACTTCCATATGTAAGGGAGTGTGGAAGATAAGGTAGGACTTAAATACCAGAACAGCTTTAATACTAAACTCAAACAGGTGGTCTTAAGTTGCAGCAAGGATGGCTTTTTGGTCCACAGCTCTTCAAGCATCGTGATTGGCTGTTATGTGGCTACGCAAAACAACACGGCAATGAGGTGAAGTTTGACTCTTCGTGGTGCCCCAAAGGCAGGCAATTTTAGCTTGTCCCGAAATCCCAATTAGAGGTCTACTTAAATCACAAGTATTGCCTACACACTGAACGTGAATATCGCACTACGGGTTGAACGCGTCTATTAATTCAACTGCCTTTCGAATGAATTAAGATGGCCTGATTTGTGTGGTGTGCACGCAAAGAAATTGTCACCGGAAAAAACAAACTGCCATTGTCACGCCCCGGAAGTGTGGCTGATAACTCAGGCACAATGACGAGCTCACAGATGACATGTTTAGTTGATTTTTCATGGTTAACTCAAGCAACAACTCAAAGTTGAACGTGGATTCTCTGACGGGACCGTTGGGTCAAGGAGCGGACACTGCTTAGGAAAAGAGTGACTTGACTTGTGATTTAGATGTCCAGTATTTAGTCGAGTGCACACACCACCATCTCCTTCTGACTTTTACACGACACGCTTCCAGCTTGTTTCCGTGATTGGCAGATCCAATTACTTTTTCTCGGGTAAAAACTTTAGATAGTTGAAGGTATCTTTTGAGAACTGGCTAAAAATCGTGTTTGAACTTTGCAACCAGTAATTTTTCTTAGTAAAATGAAAAAAGTCCATACTTTTTGAAACTTCTGAAAGCGTCTTTCAAGAGCTGTGATTTAATCAGAAATTGTGGACTGATTAGGAAATTGTTAGTGAATTTTTATTTAAGAAGACTACATTGCTTTCAAGTTTATCTCACGCTTTTACACCTACTTGTCAGTATCCTTCTCCTTCAAGTAGTCATAATATGTGACCCCGAAAGGCATTAGTCTAGACCTGAAAGGCCGCTTTTATTCTGAACAAGGTCACCTGGGACACTGGTTATGCAGACTTTTGGTTATCGTGGATCGCACCAAGCCGCGTGTGGCTCCCGTTTTCGTGCAGTGGTGGATTAAGCAGCGTCAGTCTCCATAATTACCAGAGATGCACCTATCAGGGCATCGTACAAATCATTTAATCTAACGGTGTTTCAAACTAATTTCAAGTAAATCAACAACCTTGTCATCCACTAAACACGGGGAATGGAGAAATGAGGCGCTGACAAGTGAACACGAGATTGTTTTTTCCGAGCCACCAACTGAAATGCTGGTGAGCACTTGCTCACCTCGTGGCTTTACTCTTTCAAATTGGTTTTCACGATGATAGAAAACAGCGTGGGTGTCATTCCTCTACAGGCATAAGTCACAGCCTTAACCACGAGCCCAGCATACCTCTTGCCTCAAAGCGGATCAAACTAGGCTGAACACCCGCCTTTCCCGCTGTGCAGCATCGTCTGTACCGCTCGTCTGGGAGAGGAATCTCGTTGTTTTCGAGCGCAGCGTGGGCTTCGTCACGAACGCCGATGGAGAGTCGCCTCATTTGGAGGTGGTTTCGCCTCTGGCAGTGAATATTCTTCCTGTGCAGCTCGATAAGTAGAATGAGCGTTATCCAGAGACTCAGTGCGCCAGACACTATTCCGATAAGGTGATCTAAGGTGAGTGGGGAGGATTAAGTAGGGGCTATTGATTAAATGTGGTTTTTAAAACAATAAAAAGTAATACATAAGGAGCCGAAGAGAGGTGAGTTTTCCATTTGCTACTCTAAGCTAAAATTTAACGTCAGCAGTTAGACTTTGTTCCGTTGAGTAGGTTCATTTAGAAATAGGGATCTGCGTGGATGGAACATTTCTGCTCTCAAATAATTGCTACTCTCAGGCTTCCAAGCACTTGGCTGACTCCATGACTTTTCGAAAATTTTAGTTTATCATTTACAAAACACAACAACATTTGATATCTGCGATTCTAGAATGCCATATCTTGAATAGGAAGCGCACTAACGTAACCGGTTTCAGTCACTTATTGCTTACCAAATCGATGTACCGCCTGCACTTGCTGACTGTAACACAAAGTTGGATGCAGATTCTCTTTAACCGATATTGACGCTGTTACGTATCTAGAAATTGGAAAAAAATCAATAGAGAAAGCCGGGTAAATGATAAATTCCAGCTAGCGCTGTTACGTCCGGTCGATAGTGCTATGGGATTTGGTGGTGTGAGCCCACGGGTATAGTGACTAAAGGTAGCCGCTTAAAGTGAAAAACTACTGGTCCAGCCCATTGGTAAAACAATTAATCAAATCGGACTACAAATAGCCCATCTTCGAATCGATTTGCACAGAACAGTGGAAATTACGGGATTGGCAAGAGCTTTCAGAGAGCAATTCGAAAGTCAACAAATCACAAATCCACTCCGGCAGTCCACTTAATTTGATGAACCAACGCACGCATCTGTGGTTTGTGAATCGTTAAGCTCCTGTGAGGATGTAAATTTAGTCACACCCCGGTAATTGAAGCAGTTTTTAAGGAATGCAATTCTGTGGTCACTGCATGTATCGAAACTGGTAAAACTAGAATTTCGAGTAGATTGTTATTTGTGACGCATCTAGAAGGTCAAAACCTTTAATGTCAGGTGGAATGTGAATGCGTAATTGTCATTGTTTTTGGGTAACATCACAAATTGCTTCAAATTGCTTCAGAAAATTAAGAAAAATCGATCTCAATCTTTCAGAAATCATCTACTGTCACGTTGATCAATACATGATTCTGGATAGAGCCTTTGCGAGATTTTAGTAATAAATAGCATGAAGAAGAAGAATTGTTGCAATCCGTGAACAGAATGTAGCAAACAGTATTGCTACACTTAAAAATAGTCTGTAGATTTAAGCCCCAGGGGATTACTTTTTCCTGTTTTAAATACTTTCATGTAAAACGTGTAGTATCGGATCACGAAGCTTCAACGAGACAGTCTGACCAACTAGGTTCGCCAGTGACCTCTCACCCAGCGCATGATCGACCTGTGAAAATGGCAAACAATTAATCTTAATGTGTGTTTTAAACAAAGCAAATTCAGTTACAAAGATGAAGCACACTTAATGCCCTGACCACGTGCGGAAATGCAATATAATTGAGCCTTTCCCTCCAGATCTCACCAACAATGGTTTGCAGTGTAGGTTCGACCCACCCCCTCCCCGGGTAAGTGAAATGCTACCTCAGCAGGAGCAGTCATTAGCAATCGGAAGAAGAGTGACACGGGGCAGTGTTTGTCTTGACAAATGACACCGGGTGGAAGCAGATGCGACAACCCCGAGTTACATTACTATCGATTAAAGTGCCAATTTCCTAGGTAAAGTCAGAACCAACGTCAGTCGGACACCGGCCAGATCTAATCCAAGGTTGGCGTTTATTCCCAAAATTGGCGCAGTTAAGACAAAATTTAATCACTGGCCCAATTGACAATGTGCACCGGCAACAAAGATGCTCCCATTTAGGGTAAAGGTTCCACCCTGATTGCCTAATACTCTGTTAGTAAAAAGTAACCAAAGTTTGAGTGACCACTTCGACCAGAGTTTCGTTTTCAAAGCATTTTTCGGTCAACGAAAACCTACCAGGTCCAAAATCAATGGCAATCACCCAGCGGTAGGTCCGTTGAACGAGACTGGTGGTGGAAAATGGACCAGACAAGCCTCAAAATTTCGTATTTGTAATATTTAGTTTTGTACAATCTTAATTAAATATTGCAATAAGATGAAATTGAGTTTGTCAAGCTTCTGCAACTCCATCATATAGACTGCAATTTCAGGTATAATTTCATTGGATAAAGTAGCTGATTCCTCCCACATTTCCTCATAGAAAAAAACGTCATTTGTTCTTATTCGGATATGGTCATTGGTCTAATATAGTCCGCTGAGCTAATTCAGCCCAGTTTCCCTTGAAGACCTATGCCTTGGGTTTAAGTTTTAATTTCAAATAACATTTTATCGCATCTGCTTTCGAGAAATGATTTCAGCTCATCTTTTAGTCACAAACCTCCGAACAATAAATGCTTTGAAGAAGCGAAGAACTGCTATTCCTGAGAGCATTTCACTTGTTGTGAATCACGTTGATTTGACACTCCTTAACCCGATCACCCCAGCCTCCTACCGAGGGTCCCCCTTCTCGCAGCATGGTGGCAGCCGCACGGATTCTCAATGCCCCCCTCATTTGCACCAATATTTATCTTGGATTATTCTCACACCTAGGTCTCGATGTTAGCTCATCTATGACTCGCACATTTAAGCCACAAACGCCAACCAAGACACGACACCAACGCCAACGTTTGTGTCCACGCCCTCTCCGGTCATTTTCTTGATCGCGGGTAGCGAGGAAGCGTAATCGGGCCAGGGGTTAACCCAGTGGCCCCGGCGTGGTTCAAGGCCACATGCTGGGGCCCACAACACATTGAATTAGTTTTTGCCTCTACTGACATGGGACTTTTGCAGGGTGTGAACACAAATTCTTAAATTAAAATTGGTTATAAACTGTGTCCGGTTTTATAAAACCAACACCTTGAGTAACTGGAACAGAACTGAAAATAACAATCGAGTAATTATAGCCGCAACAACCACACCGTACATGTTAAGAATAAACTATTTTCCAGCAAAGTACTTCATTCAAATATTGGCTGCTGTCGTTGTTGTTGTTGTCTGATTGGGAGTTATTTCCTAAATCGCATATTCAAAAATCAAAGAAAGACATTTAATCGAAATCACTGATATTTGCCCCTCGAAATCAAAATCCACCGTCTTGCGTCCCATTTGTAGTCAACTTAAATAGCTTTCATCACGTTGCATTGAATGTAGTTTTTTAATTTTCAGAATATACATTTTTTTAAAATTCAATGGGTGAATGCAAAAATTCACGTCCTATTTTAAACGCGACACAATTTCATGGAAAATTTCCCATAACTGCGTTCTAACCTTAACAGGTTTTGAAACGTATGGGTTTTCGTCAAAAAAAGTCGTAATAAAAAATTAAACTTCTACCATAGATTCTGTTGTTTTCGGCGATCGAAAAATTGCAGAAAACGTAACAGACAAACCTCTAAAGGGGTCTAGGTCGAGGGAACATGGCGGCTGCAGGAGGGGTTTGTCACGTTAGTTCCCTACGTTTTTTGGCAGTGGCTGCCTTCTCTTGATTGGCCGTTTTGCTTGAATTTTAGCATTGAATTCGGATGACTTGCTCGCAGGTCTTCTCCAAGTCCAAAAAGCGCGTGACGGGCAGTCCTCTTCAATCCCACCACCAGACACACAGCATCACTTTCGATGCATGTGGCAATTAAGCCTTTGCCAAAGATTCTGCCCTCCAGAGTCAATTTTTCTTCTTTAGTTATGACTTTATCCAAAAAAGGTTCATTTTGTTGACAGGCGAGAAGACAAATGACTGTGGGAAATCAGCTCTGTTAGTTCTGTTCCGTCAATAACCTGTGGGACCCATAAATCGTGTTTCGAGGTGTGTCATATTTGCCTTAAATGGTGGAATGTAATAAAAATTGTCAGCACTTAGTTTCTCGGCAACCTTTTAAGTGGTAATCCCTGGATTATTTTAATGAAAAAGCCTAAGAAAATACAAACAAATGCCTGAAGTTTGCTCAGATTAAAATTAATCTACTAGATTCATATGACTATTTTTAAATGGAATAAACCGCCTTTCAATCGTTGAGAAAACAGGGAGATGATCCAAAACAACGTCTTTAATAATATTTCTGTGGTTCCGACAATTCCAGCAACCTCCTGTAACTTCTCATTTCCTATTTTCACTATCAAACGTGTGCGCAAACTAACTTCAACAAACTTGTTGCGGTTATTTCGACTCAAGACGCATTTACACTGCAGTCAGTTAATAATCGGTTCAAAGAGAAGCATCGGCAAGGCCAATAGTTCACGTTTCTGAAAATCGGCAGAACTTTTTGCCATCCTCCAAAATCAACAACTGTTTTAAGTTACCGGAAAATGCAACATGACGTTTTTACTGCCAACTCTGTTAAACCAGCGCTCCGTAACTGTGGTAGATGGCTTTGACGACCATAGTGTCGATGACTTGGGTATCTTTCCCCATGAAAGGATGGGAAGGGAGTTGGGGATGGCCTAGTCATGCCACTTTGGCTGTTCTCCTCCTCAATCACTGCCCACTGGTGACTCGCGCTTAAGCTCTAAGCTCTTGCCGGACGACTGTGGTCATAAAACAGTACAGCACTCACTTTGAGAGGGGCAGTCTGTGCCGAGTGGACTGTGAGAGAGCATACTTAGCCCTTGTTTCACGATTTTCGGCCGTCAGCTTGTGAAGTTCGGTGTTCATACGATCGATGAGCGTGACGATTGAGGAAATTCGCTCGCCCAAAATCGAAGTTCTTGCTCTGTACACAGTCTGAACCAGACGGCAGCCTGTTTCATTGGCTGCCGCCATGAGTCTGGCTGTGGGCATTGGCTGGAACAGCTCTCGGCTTGACGAGGAATTGTAGCTTACGGCAACCAGGCTTGCTGCCCTCGGCGGATGAACTTCAAGGAGCTATTGCAGTCGAAATGACATTGGATTAATATTTTACAGGATACCACGCAACCCAGGCTTCTACGTGTTTCTAAACCCACATACTTTAAAACCAGCAAGCAAATGTTTTGCCATAGAGCACAAACATTTGGATGGCAAAAGTTTAATCGTAAGTGTGTCAAACAACGTAAACTGCTTGGAAACAAGGGTGGATTGTGGACGAAAGGCACCCTAAATTCTGTCTGAGAGGTAAACACATCACCCATCCACCGTGATGCACGATCGGTGTAATTGAATCCGCCGGACTCTAAAGATATCAGTTTAAAATTTACACCGCTTGGACCGGTAAACCAGCATTCAAGGCATCACGCAGTATGTATCTGGTTGACGAAGGGATGCTGCTGCTGACTTTGGAGTTGGAAGCGTAAGTAAGTCAGCGTCAACCTGAGAATGCCCGTGTCCCGCACCACAAGATAACCGACTGAGGCACTTAAAGGCCCAAGCTCACTGTCCACGCCAAATGAAGGATTTTGATTATGCCGAAAGATAAGAACCGTATTAACTTAGGCACACCAAGGTTATGACACTGGTCCTTTTTAAGCACTTTGTTTAGAACGCTAATGCATTCAGTAAGCAAAACTAGCGTCAAGGGCATCCGAAATGGGCCGTATTTAAAACGACTGATGTCTTAGGGGTGTCTTTGTACGAAATTTTGAAATCATGCCGGTCAGTAAGTCCTCAAAGATACTCAAGCCCTGTTTCCCATCACACAAATTGCAGAGCTGTGGGTTAAGCTTCGGATGATTACTTGTATCGTTTTGAGGTCATTAGACGTCATGTAAGCAAAAGTATTACAGATCTCGTACTCAGGACTTTGCTTTTTAATCATTACTTGACAATTAAGTATCTGGTAAAGGGTCTAAGGAGGTCTAATTCAAAATTTATAACCATAACTGCCAGTACCCGAACTTGTTTTTTTTTATATGACAAGTTACTTCTGATTCTGTGCATCCACATTCATCCTTATTTGTGTAGACAAGGTTTTCTTTACTGCCCGATGTGTCTGTTAAACCGAGGCGCTACCGAGCGCACTGTAATTGGCCTCAAGGAATAACTGGATGCTCTGCGTTTAAGGTGGCTGTTGGGCAGTAAATTTACCACTGGTACAGCAAGTGAGCGTTCTGCTGCTGCGTGTAGCGGTGCACTTATAAGAACACAAGGAAAACAGACAGTTGTCTTTTTTGCCATGTTTAGGCTTTTCATTTAGCCGACGATGGAAGCGTGATGTCAACCATAAAACGATCATTTCACCAAGACGATATTTTTCCCTGATATTTTTTCCGGTATTTAAGTCAATTTCAATCCCAGCCTTAAACAATCGTTTCCGGAAAATCGTGGGCAGTTAGTCTCTGTGTTGCAAGGGTCAAAGAAACTGAGATTCGACTTCGAACCCATGATGCCTACATCAATCATCTATTGGTTTGCGCAATCCACACGTGGTCGTTTAACTGCTTCGGATTACAAGTTCCTTTGGCTCATTACCGTGCCCAGATTTTTTTAAAAATGTACTAGCCAGTTTCTTAGATCAAGTTATGCATTTGGAGTAAAATTTATTCAAAACCTCTGGCTCCATCCACGTGTTTACTGCTGGGGACATCGAAAAATTTAAGGTGATAAACCGAGGCTCCTACCGCTGACTAAATTCTATCGATGTCTCCAAGTAACTTTAACTGGATTTTCACATTTAAACTAGCAGTTAATATGGGCTATTTTAGAACACCACTTGACCTGTGCAATAATTATTATTACGACAAATATCTAGGTGAGTTTTAGCATACTTACTTCTAGCCTATCAATCCTAATCCACAACAGTAGAAGCAAGAAAATTGCCATGGTTTAGGAGTCCTCATGATTATTTCAACGTCTGTCAAGTGATATCGAGGCTAGCAGTCTCATGTCAGGTGTGATTTGACTCGGGAAACATGACAAACGAACTCTTCCCCCGCTGAGACAGGCAGGCACTGACAGGTGGCACAACTCACACTTCGAATGAGTTCGCGGAAATGCGAGCGCAGCCGAGCGCCGATGGTTTGTGCGGAGAAGAAATTACCCACCAGCCGCAGCTCCAAGTCGGCGCTTGTGAGACTGTCGTTGATGAGCAGCGAGTCCGGCGACTGGTGCAACCAGGCATCCCACTTGTCCTGGGCGTCGACGAGGTGGACGTAGAGGGAGGCGCCGATTCGGTGCAGGTCCTTGGCGCAGCTCGTCTGAGGAAGCATTGCAGTCTCCACCTTCAGAGCCTGCACGCCTTGGCGGATCAGGTCGCAGACGAAGCCGAGGGCCACCTTGATCTTGGTCAGCTCGTGCACCTGCTTGGCGATCTCTTGTAGGGCAGTGCGATTCATTGCCCGCAGGAACGCTCGCTGCTGTATCGATCTGCTCACCTCCTCCTGAAAATCGATGCGTCTTCGATTGAACCATCCATAAACCAACCTGCCCGTTTAGTTTTAAGGGGCATTTATTACCAATATCAGCTTCATTTCAAGAAATAATGTATTCCGATGAAATTTTTAAGCCTAGGAGTTCAATTAGAAGGTCCAATTCACAAATTAGTTTTTTTTAATACTTCTGCTTATTCAGGTATGCAGGTATAGCAGTTGAGCAATCAGCGATATAAAGGCCAACTATATTAAACTACCGCTCTGAACAAATTTTTCGCTAGTGGTAGATGTCTTCATTTATCAACCCGCATTTTCGTAAATATGGAGGAAAACCGTGGGACAGAGCATTGGAGTATAATTGGCTGTTAGGAGTGGCGAATTAAGGAGGTTCTACATAAATCGACAGAAACTTTTTTCGCAAAATCACTTACTAGGCGAATCTTTGTGAGTTGTCAAAATGAAAGCGTCAATTTTTGTAGACCAACCACCAACGTCAGCATGTTCGTTTACTAAATCCGGTGTTGGGGTGGCACTCGTGGGTATGCGTGCCATTTTATCGATTTTTCGCATGAGCGTCGTGACGTCGTACATGGGGTGAGAACACCAATGAAAACGTCAATATGTCTAGACCTTATGGGGTTTTGACTCGACTAGTGGCTGTTCCTACTTTGGGCAACCTGAAGCGTGAATTAAACCATGATCCATTTAAGGTGGTAGGTCTTGTCGTTGGATTGGATAGTTGGCGCTCTTGCTACAGTCGCATGCACAAAATAAGTCAAAACGGTTAATCAAGCCAAAATGTAGCAAATCTGACCTCCCCACATACACCACCTCAATGCTGTGTCGAAGAAGTTGTCTTATCGAATTGGCAAGTAATGTCTTTGTAAAATATTGAATAAATTTGAACTGAGTGCCCCCTTTCACACCAACTGAGATTAAAATACGTAATGAGGAATAAATTTGAACTCGGCAATACGCTTTTCGCGTTTTCGCTGATTGTTCAAATCTCATACAAGCCCGTGATAACTCCTCTCACGCATTCCCGCACCTCGATAAGGACCCAATGACAGGTAGGATTTTAGCGTACATTATGGGGCAATTCATTTCAATCAGCCTTCCCTTTTGCTACAAAATGCAAAAGGGAAAGGACTTAGCCGGGTGGTCCCAATAAACCCCTTTTTTTCTGCAAGGGGCAACAAGGTAAGAAGTTTGCCGCCGCGCTGTCGTGGCAAAACGTGAATTTTTATTTCCATCATCACACTTCACCGAAAACAAAATTTGTCCACTTTGGGTGGAAAAGCGTCTGAAATCTGAAGCGGGTTATTTTGTAATCATGCTTACAGATGCTAAGATGGTTTCACAGTGTCAGTTGAGTTCTACTACTCACTTGATGAACTATTATAATTTAAGGTTCAGTTGGGTGATTAACCTACCTTTTCTGCTTCCGCTTTCGTTTCAGACCTAATGCCATAGGGTAGAAGGCTTTGATAAAGTGCTGATTTCGTTGTCTGCGTGATGGATTCCACTCGTAAGTTCGGACTGCCTATGGAGAAAGTAAAAAAAGGGTGACAAGCGGACAAACTGCATGGAGACGCACTTTTGAACACGTTTTCGATGGCCGCTGGATGTCTTGTCTGATCTTCCAAACGGCAGGTATATTTTATCAGCGACCTGACAAACGAAGCTGGCGTTCGCTGTGGTGTCCGTGCTTGACCGCTACGGTCACTGTTCTAATTGTCACATTTGTTAACATTACGACCTGTTGAAACGGAGCTAAAATTCTTATTTCCAACGAAGAGCTCTCGCCAGTGCTTTTACTCGGTTGAGCCAACCCACTAAGCAAACAGCAAATTTACATTCATATTTCCTATAATTTTGTCATGAGTGAATTGGTAGTAATGGCCTTATTCGCTATGTATCAAGTGAGTTTAGTGTGAGATCTCTCACAAGGCTTGCCTATCATGGCAGAACATCCAGAGTCGCTGTTACGGGGACAATTGTAGATCTAGATCGACACGAGTGGTGATAGATAGAAGGGAAGGGCATCAACATTTCTCTCTCTGGGAAGCTTTTGGTGTTTTTTTACAGAGCAGGGAAAAAGTGACAGCAGGGGTGTGCGAATCAGTCATGAGTATTTGTCACCGATGTGTTAAAATTTCACTTTTAGGCAGGACAAGCGCTCCAAGAATGAATGTTGCCTTCATTAGATCTTGCAAAAGCACCCCTAGTCAGTACTGCTTGTTCCACTCGCTACAAAGTTTCTTACGATATGCACTCTGCCTAGAGTCTTAGATACATCATCCCTCAAATATGTCAAGGTGGTGTCTGCTGAAGCCAGGCAGGTTTATGCTAGTGATCACCAGATGCAATCAGGTGGCTAAATGAAGCTTCAGAGCTCCCAGGAGCATGAGGTCTGTGTCGAGGTCGAGTTCAGGCTACCCACTTAGACTAGCTTCAATTACTTGCTACCTTACCAATCAGCAGTTAGTCTCCTTAATAAAGCAACAAGAAGCAACTCACATAGAAGGCCATTAGGTGATCCCTTAAAGCAAAGAAAAAGTGCATGTTAGACGTCGCTTTTAATGGCAAAAGTGTGCATTTACTTGTTAATGCAAACATTCGTACCTACCGCTGATGAAATGCGAACCATATTGTGAAATCCACTTCCGATGAAGAAGCTCCCATGGTCCCGATGCGAGGCATTGAGAAGGACCAGGAATCCGGTGAAGCCGTCGTTCGGCAGAACGTACTCATCTTCCTCAGGATCGAGAATCAGCTCAAGGGTCATCAGTTCTGAATGGAGTGAAAACGTTATTGCTGACGCAATAAAACCCGCAAAACTTGGCTTTGATGTGCCGTGGTCCAAACCAGGAGCAACTGCAAACCGAATCACGGTTTTTACCCCGCTACTTCAGAAGGCTTTTGCACCATCCACGTATCAGCAAGCAAGAGTAGAGCATCAGAGCACATGCAGAACTAGCTAACTGGGCATGCAAACATTCGCAGTTGTGTCTGTTGCAGTTCACACTTTCTTACTCTAAAATAAGCCGTGTTAGTAAGTCGTGGATGGTAAGTACGGCTACTCGGTTGCCCAGCCTAAAATTGGCCTAAATCACATGCTGTCGTCGTGAAGTTAAACAAGAGGACTCACATCTAAGACCTCTCTAACGTATCATCAATGGCAAATGAGTTGAGATTTCGAGAGCGAAATCACAGGCTTGTAGTCCACCTTCTTGTAATTAAAAGTGAGTGAGTACTAAGTGCATTGCTTAGTATATTTGAAAATGAGCCAGACCAACTGAAACAAAGGCCAACTATTCAAGGCATTTGGCACAGCCACATGAAACTCCACTCTTGGTGGCTCACCTTCTTGAAAATGTATTTGAAAACACAGCCCATGTTTTGTCCTTAAGGGTTCGAAATCTTCAGCTTTGCATTCATCATCGTTTATCTGGCATCTGAAGTAGTAAAGATACTGCGTATTTACCAATCTTGGATGATCAAGCAGTACAAAAATGCGTAACACCTTTCAAACTTTTAGGCTACTACCCTAGTTTAAAGCAGTGTCAAAGTTCAGCTGGCTAATGTTGGATGTCGTGGTTTGTAAAAGATGAATTTAATTCCGAACCGTTTGAGCATGGTGTCCATTGTGTGAGAAAATTCTAGGAGCTGGTCTGTGGAAAGATCAAGGTCTTCAAAGGAAAATCCTGAGTCCTGCATAGCCTGAGAAACTCTGTCGTAGACTCCAGCGGAGTAGAGTGCCGTTGCTCTAGAAGATTAAGCGGCATTGAGTGGTTAGGCACGTTACCATGAGCTCAAAAGCTCAGCCGACTCAGTCCACAGTTAATCCACAAACGCACACCACAGATTCGGAGGGTTGTACACGTTAATACCAGGAAATTTTTGGATCCTATAACGCTTCTACAGCTGGTTTTCTGTCATTAAACTTCATTTTACAGCTCTAAATCTGGAACTCTTGCCGAAAATCCGCCTTGGGTGGTAATTCTTCGCAGCATGAATATAGCTTTCACCCTTTCCACATTATCGTTTCGTTTCACATGGTCGATACGAGTAAACCGTGTCGAGGTTCAAGGGAAATTACGATGGTAATCGCATGTTTTGGGGGGACACTTAGCAAATCTCTTAGGCACCATATTTAATTCAAATTACTCTATAGGTATTGTCGAAATTACGATGAGTTGGTTCATAATGGCAGATTTACCGCTCTTCACTTAACGTACAGGTCTATTTTAATTTATTCACACCTATTTTCTAAATTTAAGTTGCAACGTTAGTTGAACATCAAGGAGAAATAGTTTGTCATCATCTTCGTCTTAGGTGCTGTGATCGGATGGCTTGCAGCCAACTGTGATCCTAATCGCTTGAATTTCTGATCTCGTCCAGACAATTAGCTCATGCTAAATATTTTATCCCGATGTGAAGCGACAGGTCGCAGAGATTAAGGTGCCACATGGGATTGGTGGAGCTTATTGCATTTGGAATGACACTTTAATTACTTTTTTTCGTTTTCGCAAACAATAGCTGCTGTGGTGTCAGAGGGAATGCGCAACCACCAACTTATTGCCCGATGTTTCAGCTTCAAGTTAGCTAGTCTTGTTAGACGGTTTGCGTTCCCACCTACTAGAAGCGCCCCATCTTTGCTGTGCGTTACCTCGATCGCGGCAGAGCTTAGATCTGTTCTAACTCGCAAGTGTGAACATCCACCTCCACCTACTCCTCCCCGCCTTCTAGTCAGCCCAATCACGTGACCTTGATGGTTGTTGAGATTGACTTCTCTATCCCAACAGCCATCTTCTCCTACAGACATACAGGAGCGAATTTTAAAAACTACGCAAAAAGCGCGGTGACATATGTGCGTGCGAATTCTTCTGGTTTGAACGTCTATTCTGGCTGTGCAGGCACACTGAAGCCACGAAAAGTCGTGACACTATATTTTGTGGATTTTGTCGAATAGTAAAAGACTAGAATCAAGGGGCTCCGTGTGCATACCGAATTCGTGTGTATGAACTCAGACTTACGGCGGACGTGGACCGTGTGTGCATTCCACGCACGACTTCAAGGCTGAATAGAAGAAAGTAATGTTGACATGGGTGAATACCGACATGTCAGTGACGATTGTGTAGGTATTGACAGGGTGACCTTCAGTTAGGTTTTAATTGCAGTAACGAACAACTAGGCGGAATGGGACATGCCTTCGACTAAAATCATTGAGTTATTACGTTAGTTTTGTAAATACCTTGCCACGTAGCAAGTGACCTGCGACATTCGAACGGGTCTCGAACCTTCACGTGAGCGTGCTCTTGGAAGGCGTCTCTCCAGCGCTGTGGAACCTGCATTTTACAGTGTACATTTGCTTTAATAACGCATCGAAAGGCTTGATTGAACCCAGTTTCGTTTTGAATTTGACATAAACTGCAATTAACTCACCAATGATGATGATGATGACTTATCTGGAATGCTAAATACTCTGCTCCAAGTTTTGCATTTATCACTGTACACTTTCCCGTCTGAGTTGTGCAACCATACCGAAACTATCTTTGTAGAACCTGAGATTTGAGAACCAATTATTAAGGAAAATGTGGTGGAACTAAGAAGCTCAAGATGCTACCTTATGAGTATTATGCACTGCTCACACTTGAAATTTTTATCGCTAACGAAGTGGCGATTATGAGGAGTTGGCCATTGCTTGGCTGTGTGTCGTCTCCCCTTCCAAGTGAGTGGCCCGACCTAGGTGTCCTCACTTCGAATCCCCCACATGCATTTGAGGTTTCCTACTAACGATGCACCTGAGAGCTACAGTGGTGTCGCCTAAAGCCAACTGAACCTGCTCGCTTGAATTGCAAGAGCGCAGACTGCAGCCTCGCTGTCCAGCTGGACACCTTAACAGCCACAAGTGACTCACCGTAATGGGTTGGCATTGCAGAAGGCGAGGGAGGGGCGTGCGGTGTCGTTGCGGGCTGCGACCCTCTCCCACTCCAGACCGGACCACGCGAGGGTGTCCAGGCTGCGGCGCCACAGCAGGATCCGGAAGGCGAGGAGGCACAAGGTGGCCAGGGTGACCAAACACCCCAGGGCTGCGGCTCTGCGGTTTAAAATGAAACATTTTTTTTAAATATCGCGTAACTAAAAGATTTTGGTAGCATTGCATTTTATTCTTTGCGCCAGTACTCACCATAATTTGTCACAAAAAATCAGTAGATGCTTATGATTCTGTGTTAACCACAACCAATATTTCCAAGATTTATCATTATGGTCGGATGTTAAGTATGAAAGTGCTAGGGGCGTTAAAACAAATTTAACTTGCCAAGGTGACAAAAAATGTTGTAAAAGGAGAGTTTACTATAGTATTTTTTGGGCAAACCCAACGATTAGATTTTAATAGCTATTAAAAGCCCAGAAATTTGTCCGATGATTTGAGGCCTCACATCTCGTCTCATCACAAAACTCCGGAAATTAAGTGAAATTATTAACTAGCAGCAACAATAGCTCTGAACAATGAACCCCAAAAGAACAGTTTGGAAAAATGAACAGCCATAACCTTGATTAATCTCACATCCGCAAACCCAGTTTGATAGCATCTGCACGTCCTTAACGTCCCTTTTAAGTGGGTGAGGCGAAGTGTTCGCCACCCGGTCGATCTAGTGTCCTCTCATACTTCACGTCTGCCAGGCACTTCAGTTGGAGGAATCACAATCCCGACCTTTGCACAAGTCCTGTGTTTACTGCAAAATTGTCCACAAACTATTGCCATTTGTCGGTTTCCTTGCGTCCTGCCTACCTCAAAGGACTTCCTTGTTCAAAAACTCCACAAATTCACCAATCCTTAGTACAACCAACCAAAATTATCTGTTGGGAAATAAACCTCGTTTGTGGATTTCGCATCTCCACGCCCCTCCACGACATCACCTGCGTCTCCGATAACTGACTCACACCGTTCGAGGATCGGTGTTCCACCAGTGGCGCTTAAACACGCAGTGAGTCTTGATGGCTGCTTCTTATTTAGACTAGAGTTTCGATACTTTAGCATGCTTCTAGATGACTTAGTACTTAGACTAGATAAGAAGACTATTGTCTACCTTGGATTTAGTCTACGGTACATGACTTACTGACTGCTCACCTTTCGAAATATCATTTACGACTGCCCCATCATTTCTGAATTGATTTCGACATTAGTGGTGACCTAAAGAGAGACCTTGTGACAGCCTAAAAGCCCGTGGCAGTTGGCATGCTGTCGGAGGACAACGAACACCCGTGTCCCTTCGAGGTAGCTTATGAACTGGAAAACCACCGACAGTGTTTGAACAGTCCAACCGTTGCGATAGGCTAAGTAACACCGACGGCCTGCGCTAATTCGAAATTTAAAATAAATTGCGGTCCCATCTGGAAGCGGAGAATGAGAAATCGGCAGGAAACTCATGATAGTTTTCCGCCCAGTCACTTTCACCCACATGGACATTAATAACCCCACAAAATTTAAATTGCAGTTAAGGCAAACTATTGTTTTGATTACACGTCGGGAATCCCGTAGGAAAAAACAGGGTTATTTAGGAATAAGTTCCATAAAATTAGAATAACGCAGACTCTTTTATTCACCTGACTTACCCATGGGTGATTCCAGAACATTAGCAAGCAAGGGGTGGTGTCGAGGTGTGTCATGTAGAAACACGCTCGGCCACTTTGAAGTCAGGCGTTGTTCGAACTCAACTGACTATTACCAACTCCCGTCTTTCTACCAGAAATAACAGTTACCACCTTGCTATTTGAGCCATAAATGTTGTTTACTTTAAAAAAATAGTTTGCTCGTTGTAGGATTTGTCGTTTCAGCGACAAAAGTCATGACCATAATGTCAGAACTCTGTTTTGGCTTAGCGGCAAATGATGGCTTTGTCACAGGAAATTGACAAGGTTTGCTGTCTTAGTACTCAATTACATGCACAAGTAGTATACACATTCGAATAGTTTCCATTGTCAAAAAAAACAAGTACTGACAAAATACGAGGCCAGTTAAGACTACAGTAGCCGTACTGGCAAGAAAAGAATTAACTGAGGCGTTTTGAAAGTAGCCTACGTAGTTGAAATGAAAGCTCATGATGTTGTCGATTTTGATAAGATGCAACACAAATCATAGTCACCCAGTACTCCATGAGCGTGCTGCATTTCCCCAAAAAATCGTAATTTAGTTGCCTGTGACAGACAGAGGTAGTGTGTGGAGGCTTTCATTAAACCATTGTAAGCCTGTTCTTCGGAGTTCGATAGGAACAAAAAAGTCGCTACTATTAGAATAGAGTTGCAGCAAAGTGTTGGTTGAGGACAATAAGTGCAGGGCAGTAATGTTTTTAAGCGGAATCGGTTGTTTTTTTTGTTTTCATCGATAGAATGACTTTGCTCTACGTGACCTTTTACGAATCAACCAATCACAGTGCAGTTCTGAGTAGTATCGATCGTCAAGTAGTTCAAAGAAATCAAACATTCAGTGAGGGACCTTACAAGGGGCTTTGTCGTGTGTTAGGCATTCCATACTCTCATATAAGTAGTCTCCTAATGTCAAAATGAAGCAAAGTAAAACAGCATCCTTCTTCTTTCGCCGTAAAATAACCATTCATATCTACGACGGTGCATGAGACGTGCTTCTAGGCTATTATGCATTTCCTTCTGCAACGTGGCTTAAATTTCAGATTCTAACTCAGAAGTAAAATTAACTGCAATTCTTCGAGTTCGCTGCAGCCCTTCATTCCGTAAACTCGTCGTCCAGTTGCTGCTGTTTTACTGCAAACTGATCTAAGTTTCCAGGCTAGGGCTTGTATGACTTCTGCGCGAGACATCTTACACAAACTACTTCACACTTATTTCAGTAGCGCAAAAAGTCTTCAAAACCGGAATCCTGTCCGTTGGGCGTTCTGCCTTGATCGGTGAATGCTTTTAGAAAAAAAGGTATCTTGTGTAATAGAAATTAAATCAGGAATTCCGGCCTTTCCTTAGTCGGCCACAGCCGAAATTGATTGTAAGCCAAGCTTTCGCTGTAATTTGAGACGCCGTTTGTGAGGAACTGAAGCGCTTGACCAGGCATAAAATCAGTGAAGCAATGAGATCTTCCTGGCGCCTTAGACCGTGGTCAGTGACGACTTGCACGTAGCCGCTGGTGGCAGAGGGCCGGGTAGGCTTTTGCCTGTGTGTGTGTGTGTGAAGCTACTGACAAGTACCAACAAAAACTTGAGTTACAAGTAAGAGAGATCTACTAAGACACCCAAATTTCCCCTCAGAATAGGGACAAATTGATACCCAGCAGACACTGTGATAAATTCTACCATAGCAATAGTGGCTATTTCATTCGTGTGATTGCATTAAATTGACCAAACACAGATGGTTTCAAAGCCCTCGTTTTTCAAATTGCCTCAGATTCGGGCTTCTCGCGTTGAGATTCCTCACGAGCTTCTCAATTTCAACATTAATTGGTCGTTCAGGTTATGTAACTTCGACTAACAAGTTGCAACGATTTACTGAAAGTGCAGTCTTGAACGACCAGAGGCAGGGGATCAGTACATTGCCCCGTGAGCTTTTACGCTTTGGAGTACAAAGAAAATGCTAAACATTCAAGTGGACTTACAGTTTTGCCCGCATTTGAATGGCTATTCAGCTGGTGACCTAGTAAATTCTCCACCCAGACCACCAGGACCGTTAAAGATGTCCACGTTATTTGTCCACCCGCTCTGCTTGGAGAAGACGCGTCAGCCAATAAGAGAGCTTTCTCCAGTGTGATTGGCCGGTGGGGTGTGTGTGACAGTCATAATCTATTAGGTTGGCAAGCTTTAATTTATGATTTCGACTTAAAGTTCCATGATTTGGTTTAATTTTTTTTAATTATACAACTTTGGTTGAACTCGCGTGTGGCTACGCTTGACACCACCCTTTCCTATTTTCACTGGCTCGGGATATAACGTGATGGTGAATTCCAGTTTTTATTCAGGAAACAGCCATGCACTGGACATCATTAATGGCCGTCGGACAGGGGCAAATTTAACGTCCCATTCCTCGACTGGTCGTGTAGACGATCCTCGGGGCTTGGGTTCAAGCGTCAGCATGAGAAATTTCTGGCTTAGTAGTCTAGGAGCTCATTGTCTGGCCTGTTCTTCTCTGTTCGGTCACTGCTAAGCATTCAAGTACTGATCGTGGTTTGCCAATGGGTCAATGGCGTTTGCGTGCTGTTGGCATTAATTTGATGCAAACGATTTCACGAGGAACCTCTTTAATTTGATTGGTTGGCTGGGAGTTGTCTTCAAGACACTTGCTTCCATCTTAAACAGATTTTAGGGGATTCCGAATATTTACCAAACGTCTGTACTTGTCCATGAAATCAAGTGAAACAAGATGATAAATTATACAAAAAATCAAGCTGGCTTGATGACAGTCAATTCCAAATGGAAAGCATAAATTTGAGGGGAGGGAGGAACTCCAGTGACTGTTTCTGTCATGGCAGAGTGTCTGATTAATGGAAGCTGATGCGACACGCGAAGCGCACATTTAATTCACTCGTCAGATATCAATTATGACAATTTGGTTGAACATATTTACTTTGCTTTGTCAGGTAGGCAACCTGACCATGTGCCAACTCGAACTTCGAAATTAACAACCCGGCGGTTAAAGTGGAAGCCCTAAGATAAAGCAGTGGTACAGTTTGGTGTCACCAATTCTAACGACTATAAAAGCAAGTGCGGAATTAGCAATTTCAGCGGATTTTAACAGCCTGTCAACTCAGAGGAAGTTTTGAGCTTCGAAGCAACCCTGAGGTAACGGCACGCATAAACTTGGGTGCCGTTTTGAAATGGCCTGAAATTTAGACTTGAGCGGAAAACTGACTGCGCCCACCACGCACGAGTGAGGTGAGTTGAAGTTGACCATCTCGGTACAACCCAGCATCGCATGCAGTGACCTCCACCCATTGCTCCGCTCACCTCACCTGCCATCCCAACAGCGCAAACCAGCCCAAACCATCCCGCCAGGCACGCAGCCGTGACTGACCCCAACTGAAGTGGCTCACTGCGTGCAGTGTCCATCCACTTATCAAACGCTGATTTCGGTTTAGTTTTCTTCACCTACAGTGAAGTGTGCAATGGATGAACAAGCGTACGCACCCACCGCAGACAAAAAACTGCAAAACGGCATGCTGTGGTTGATTTGTGACCATCACGGATCATGTGCGCGCACGAAATATGAAAAGATAATCCACAGTAGAAATTCTTTAAAATGTCGTGGCATCACTACCTGGGAATGCGCTGTGGTCTATCCGAGGTGACAAATTCAGCCATTTTGAACTAGGGTTTGGTTGTGATACACACACACACACACACACATCCACTTAATCACTTTCTTTATTATAAAGAATGTGAAACAAATTCTTCGATTTGGATTCATTCTAATCAATACTTGTCACACAACCAAAAAGTGTTCCTGTAAGCCCGTCCGATTCCTTCTGCTTGATGGCATCGCACACCGCTGGACGCAGAGTGCACCCCTTCCCAGTGAGAACAATCGTCGTGGCGTCATTTTGACAACCGGAAGCCACGTAGTGAAGGCCTCACTTGAGGTCGGGGCTCCTGCCTGGTGGTGACACAATAAGGCATGCACGCGTCTGCTTCTCTAACATAAATCGGGGTGAATTATTTCTGGGTCATTTGCGGGGGTGGATGGGCATTCCTCGAGCAATGTTTTGTTTTAATTCAATGTGACTTGTTTGTATTAATTCTAGGCGCTAGATTGCTGTCTTCATTTCACATTTTGAATATTAATTCCCACAGTTTATAATATTTCTATTTCCAGCCAGTCATTTCCACTTAAAAAAGTATTAAATTAGAAGATATAAAATTGGACAGTTTTGTGAAAAAATAATGATGACTTCATTTTAAAAATAGGTCATATTACAGACCGCTTAGCTTAATTAAATTTCTATCGATTAGCATTAGAGGGTTAAGTCAGTAAGATCAATTGCAGGTGTGGCGTTTTCCGAAAGAGTTGCGTGTTTTTTTAGTTAAGGGACCGCGACGCACAACAATTGGTACCGTTGAATTATTAATGGAACGGTTTAAGAAACGTATTTCAGGGGTTGCAGCGTCTGAGAACAGTAAGACAAACCACGCCATTAAATCGTAACACTGAGAAGTCGATTTCGTGACTTGTGAGGGTGCCATCCGAGCACCGGTTGCAATTCTTCCGGGTGAGGGGGATGTGGTGACCAGCCCCCCTCTCTGGTCCCCTCGTGACGTGCCTGCTTTCAGTGTGCTCTCCAAGGGACACCCAAGTAGGTTTTTCACGAACCATCCATGCTCTGTTCCGCTTGCATGTTCAATCCCACGTGCACTTGAGAGCCTCGCATTGGGAGGACACAGCGGCGCAGTCTGGCTGTCAAATAAGTAAACGGAAATGTCCCCTCCATGCTGCGGCGTCTTCAAAGAACTCGCGCACACACCTAGACGGCATTGCTAATTACACAAGTCCCAGATGCTTCGGTCTTTTGCGTTTCAGCAGCCTCCACTCACTCACTCACTCTGATTGCAATCAAAGTCATCGTTTGCGCCAACGTCTATAGTTGAGTTGTTAATTGCATCAAAAGCAGAAGTACTGCCAGTAAACGGTTCGCTGCTAATTGAGCGCATCCCGTCTCTCTGGAGGCTTAGAGCTCTGTATAAGCACCCAAGAAAGGTTTGCAGGTTCGAATGTCTTTTCTTAATTGTTCCACGTCTCTAGACTAAACAGGTCTATATATCTAGTACCGTTTTAGATCTTTGCAAGGACCACTGAACTTACTTCATGTAATGCAAATAAATTGACTACTGCTTATATTTCAGTACACGAAATTTACTACCGTAGTAGAACTTCCAAAATCGGCAAACAGCTTTATCTCGGTACCCAAACTGGAGCCTGGCAGATTTGCGTGACAAAAAACGGAAACGTCAAGTTTCTGCAAGTACCACAGCAGCTGTCTGCTTTTGTTTGTGACTCTCCGAGAGGCGGCTTTTTTGCATCTGTTGGATATTAGAAATCAACTTTAATTAAGGTGATGGGTCCCATCCGATAAAAATAATTTCCGGTGGCATTTCGCATTCGCTAATAAATGTTGGCATAATGTTTGTGACCTGATGCATTCCTGTCATTACTATCCCAGTAGCAACTCTCTAATTACTACAATTGAAGCGTGTGCGCGAACTCCCACCCCCACCCCACCCCACCCAGTGTGATTTGCAGTTGGCTTCTTACCTCTGTCCACAAACCATGTGAAAAGCCATTTGTTCACTCGCTTTTGGGTGCCAAATGATGTGTCTCTGCGTAGCCCATTAAAAGAATCCCAATTTATCATTTTGTACTAACGCTACAAGATTGGGGAAAATGCTGACATTGTCACTAAAAGGTAACCATAATTCACAAGAGTGCATTCCTGTAATTAATTCCGGCATTAACCAGATTCCACCTGAGAGGCTACAAGTTGTTAGTTGACCAAGTCGGTAACGCGTGCTTTCGGTGACCTCATCATTTGTTTTCGCGTTACTAGGTTATTCGTGGAATGTGATTTGTGAAACTGCACTGAAATCCAAAATTAATTGGGCCAAATCTGTGTCGTGAATTGCCAACTAACCAACGTGAGTGAAGTTTGTTCACGAATTGGTCTGACGTCATTGATCATTGATTACAGCTGAAAATCGATATTCACCGCCACGAGCACTCATAAAAGGACACCTAGGTGGTCTTAAGTTAATAAAACTGCAGCCTATTTTGCCTCTGTTCTCGGGTTGTTACGAGCTAACCGATAAGAGCTACGAGGTAGTGCAAACAAAATATAACACCGGTCATGGACTCCTCTTACGTGGTCAAGTTTTAATCACGACTGTGGCCAGTAACACCCAAACAGCCTCATTAAACAATTCAAGCACTGACTATGCGATTGGCTTATTGCTACATTTGTTGCCATCTGAGTATGGGAAATTAGCAGGTGCTTGTTTGATTAGGCCATGGGAAATCTCCAGCTGTTGGACTCAGGGGTAACTAGTTCTTTTAATTCACAAGAAGTAGTGTTAATACAACTGGGTACTATGCCTGGCAAGTAACCAATGACGTGACGCCTTTTAAATGCTAAGCAGAATTTCTAACGCCTCAAGTACGCATCGGAATGTCATTTCGTCCAGATTCAACCATGGGAAAAGTCTGTCCGCGCCGCTCGCACACACACACACACACACCGGAATTCTAAGTGCCGAACGTCGTAAATCTGTTAAATATTGCTCCTAGAAACAATTTTCGCTTCGCTAAAATTTTATCTGTGAACAACTACATGTGCTAAACAATAATTGCACTCCATGACCAGATTCATTGGCCTCAGGTTAAAGACATGAAAAACATTGTATTGGAAATAGATTGTGTTGTTTCTGAGGGTAATGTTCACTCCAACGGAACCTTTATTGAAAATCAATACTTTTACTGACTGATTGCGACCAGCTCCGGAACTGTAGCCCTCGTTTTGCCGCGGGTTGGCTCCAACTACTCAAGCTCAGTCTCTGCGAACGCTCAACGGCACCACGAAGCGTCATGTGATTTTCGAGCTCGACTGACATACATTCGAAACCCCTAACCACCTCCAAGCTCCCTGCAAATTTAACCACGCAACCACTATATCCGCCACACCCCACCTCACGCACAAAAGCACGCTGAGAAACAGCATCGGGTGTCATTTTAACACCTTAAGTCCAATTATAGTCATTTTCAAAGCGTTATGAAGCCCAAACAGTGTTAGTTGCACGACGCGCCATTCCTCCTGTGCACGGTCTCGCACGAGAAGGCATCTTCCTGTGTGCTGAGACGGTTTTGGGGGGTCTTGATGATTTGTGCACATGGCGCTCCATCCCACCGTGTTTGGGGATCTCTATGAATGTCCCACCCACACGGATCCAAATGCCCCATCCTGCTCACGTTTGCTGCACTTTTCCTCACACACACACACATACACGATCGCCCGCAAGAAACACCACTCGTTTACAAGCACGTCCGGCCTCAGCCACAATCACGCAGTGTCACGCCTAGCCACAGGGACGCTCTCCGCGTAAGGCTTTGTGCATTTTGGAGAGATTTTCGATGTTGACCTGAGGTCGCGAAAATGCGTCTTTCCCACGCTTCGTTTCAGAGATTTTGGCAGCTGTGTTTCACAAAATCGTGGAATCTTGTTCCGCTCGAAATCACAAATTGGTGAGGCTGCAGTCTAGATTGGTTATGCAAAAGAACCTCACTAAACTCCCCTTTCTGTCATGTCTTTGAGTGTAATCGCGGATGGATAGTCCTTTAAGTAGTAATAACTCACCCTTAGGAACGCATCACCTCTCAAGGAACGAATAAGTGCCAATAGCTGTTGCACTATGACTAGCAATGTTGAATAGGAATCATGACAACATGACAACACCGATCTTGTACAAAAGACCGCCATAATTCGCCCTGCAGCCTAAATAAACCGAAATTTCTTAAATCTACGGTGCTTACAGAACTCCACTTGGCAACTCCTATAGCTATTTGGGTGAAAAGACTCATTAAAGTTTCAGCTCAAGTGGCACTTATTGTGTTTACCCAGAGCTGGGTGTTACGACGGCATCTTTCCGAGGCTCACCCATGACCTCCACGTGGCAGCTTCACGCTAATGCACTGCCTCACTTAGCGGAGGTCCGCGATGACAGCCCTCAGTCGCCCGCCTTTCCCAATGGTGAAGAACAAGAAAAAGGCAAGTCAACACAGGCAAGCCCTATCTCCCTTTTACCGCGATCTGATTGGGTGTGTTGGTTTTGCAAACAAACCCTCATAACACACCGTTGATAACATCAAACCTTTGTGGACCAGCAGCGCTCCGTGTGGTTTTAACTTGTTTCACTGGATAGGCCCACTGTGATAGTTGTAGTGGTAACTCATTTCTGTTTGGACTCCCCTAGGAAACTATCCAATCAAATCCCTAGGTGATAGGCCTGGCATCATTTTGAAAACTAAGCATGCGTAATTTAACTGACGGCCTCCATTCTTATTTTGTGGACCAGTCTAAATAAAACTCTTGCATATTCCACTTTTTTATTCAAAGCACGCTTTCTCGTTTTCACGACAGGTGATGCGCATTCCTGCGCAAACAGGCAAACTTACAATAAGTTATTCTTGACTGTTTATAACTTGAATCTTCTCGAATCTTTTTTTATATTCCGCTAGACGAGTCCCTCATTTTTGCTGTATTAGCATGGATTAATTTTCAGTGAGTAGTATTTGAGGACATTTGTGGCAACAAAATTTCGTGTGTACCATTATGAGCATATACGCTTGTATAAGACAGGGTGATGCAATTTAAACTTAACCTACCACAATTGAGTTTACACACAGGTTCAAATTTGTGCTGATGGCAGTTTCGGCCACTTAAAACTCCCAAAAGTGCTGAGAAACATGTTCACAACAAAAAACCACGCAAACCATCACTATGGATTGAATTTTGGGGTCCAAAGCATGTCATGGAGCCGCTTAGTCACCGGGAGCCTCTGTTTGATTTTCCCAATTCAAGTAAACTTGGCTAAACCATCTCTTTTTCTCTAGGATTTGTAGTTGTTGCATTTTAATGACGCAGACAGTATTAAGGAGGACTCGGTGCTGGGCATTGCTGCTGTTGAGCCTGAAAACGATCCCAGTTACCCTCTTTTTTACAGGCAATTTTCGCGTGCCCCTGTTGTGGGCCCCAGCATGTGGTCTTGAACCACGCCGGGGCCACGGAATTAACCCTGGCCCGATTACGATTCCCGGGTACCCGCGATGAAGAAAAAGACCAGAGAGGACGTGGACACAACCGTTTTCTTCAGAGCTCAACCACGTTGGTGTCGTTATGTCGTGTGTGGGGTTTGAGCGTGTGTATTTATACGCTAACATCGAGACCTAGGTATGAGGATAATCCAAGATAAATATTCGTGATAATGAAGGGGGATTTGAGGGTTTGCGCGGCTGGCGCCATGCCGCGAAAAAAGGGGAACCCTGTGTCGGAGGCGGAGCGACAGGATTAAGGGGTGTGAATAAACACGTATCACAACACCTCTTTCTTAATTGAGACTGAACTTCCACGGCAGCCAAGGTGCATGCAATGAGCACCCGTGGGACCGATTGCTCTATCCTTCCTTACGTCTTGACAACTCTTCTGAACTACTGAAACCCAAACTACTTGTCAGCTTCGTTAAGCTTTACTGCTTTCCTCTTTAGATGAAAGTACCTTAACTATCGTTGTACTGCTTCAGTCAAGAGTTACAATGAGCCTGGCAGGTTTTATAACCGTACAAACCCGTCACATGCTGTCGCCTTCTTCGCCCATTACTTCTCTATAAACAAATTAAAAACCTTTCTTCCGGTTAAAAAGTGTCACTAGAATGATAAGGGCAGAAATCTTTGCTTTTAAAACATGTTAGGCGCTGTCACGAGTAGGCGAAGGTTGTGCGTGACTTGATTTCGCTCGTGTCTAAACTAAAAATCCAAACAATCCAATACAATTAATTCACTTTTCGATTTATTTTAAATGCCCCTTAAGTCAAAAGCGGCTACTTGCAGGTCTATAGGTATTTGTTAATCTCAATTATCTGCCCAACTGAATGAGAGTCTTGCTTTGTTACGTATTTGGGTCGCTAAGTTACTGTCACAATATAAAGTTTAGAATACGTTGGTAATGCATTAGTTTAGGTTTCAGAGTCCCCCCCTCTATAGAGTTGATGTCTTAAGCAAGCAAGGAGTTGGGATTGTAATGTTGAGTGCCCCGCCGGGGCTGCTGGGCCAAATTAAACCGTTAACGCGCCTCAGATACCCGAGAACACGCGTACAAAAAAAAAGATGGCAGAGGCACGTCAATTTACTAGACAGCTTAATCAAACCGTGTTGTGTGAGTGCCTGCGTGCGTGTGTGCGCTCGCCGCATAACTGCATGTCCGATGGAGTTATTGATCAATAGTGCGGTTGACCTATTTAACGTACACGGAACTGAATGGACGTGAATCAATACGAGTCACTACGACTGTGACCAGACCTCTTTACGTGCCCTGTGTGTGATCTTTTATCACACCAACGCTGCTGGGTTGAATCGGCGTTTTAAGAAAGCAATTAAACAACACATCACAATCGTAGTGAATCGTACTGATTCACGTCCATTCAGTTACCGCATTGGGCGCACTTCTTCCTAAAACACCATTTCAGCTCCAAATATCTGTTTGTTTCTTGCGATGCTTCCGCCAAACGAGTACTTCTGCTCTTCAATGCGTTTTCAAATTTGTTTACTTGTCATTGTGAAACGACTTTTATGCTGGGAAGGCCTGTGTGCATGATGCAGTGTATATAAACGCCTTTGCGCTGGGGCTGTGGTTGACACGATGTATCACCGACCAGATTAACGCAGCTCTTTAAGTAATAAAAAGCGCTAGCAAAAATGGCACAAATAATCATCCATATTTGTTCGAATAGGAGCTCCTATCAGGCCTCTTCCCATCTCAAGGCAGTAGATAAATGTAATGTTTTCGCATCACTTCCACTTGGGGCAGAAGCCCCACAGGCAGTGTGTTGCTAGCCCATGAAAGTTAATGCACTATGTATTTATAATAGTAAAACGCGCATTTGAAAAACACCAGTCCTGATCCTGTCTTCATTAAACTAGCTACAACAGAAGGAAAAGTCGTAATTTTAGTCTCACCGCGTGTGATATTAAGCATCCAAGATTTTTTAGGGCCTCTCTGGCTCACTGCCATCCGCTTAATTGCACCCCAGACGTCAACCGGTTCGATTGTCTACAAGCCGATTTGAGTTACTTGCAACATTGCTTTTCGCATCGCTCTTAAAAGATATTCGGAGTCTTATCTGGATTGGCTAAAGAAGAGGCACCAGTAATGCCAATTTGATTGTCCCAAGCAATCAGCATTATATATACCCCGTGGTGCCTTCCTTCGTGATGTCAGTGACGCTTTGCAGTATTCTTTTGAATCCTAATATCGAGAATGAATCGAATTCCAGTCAGATGGACGGAGGATGCTGTTCAACGCCCTTATTGGTCAGACGTGCATTTGGCCACACGCTGCATGCAAGACGCGGAGTCAAATGCGTCTCCGACCGTCAGAGGTATCCCATGCCTAATGACTTTTTATAACTACCTTTATGGAGGTACATTTCCAGACATGACCACCATGCGCGTGGGATTATTCATTGTCCATCGTAAATTGTCGTATCGTTACACCCCTGACTTCAACCCCCTTCCGCCATTTACTCCCCTCACGATTTGTCCCATGCGCGTCCGCGTCTGTTGAATTAGCGGGTTACGAGGACACCTGCAATTAACGCATGAATCAGCGTGACTAGCCGCTGGAAGTTTAGCACAAAAGGTCAGGCGAGCTGTTTCCCACTGCCGTTTCCTTCAGGCCTGTCGGTGGAGGTCTTTCATTCAGCTTTTAATGCCAGTTAAGCGCACACGAGGATATCGGGATGCCATAGTGGTGGACACCGCCTAGACGACATTTAATCCAACTGTTTGGCGTGTGCATTAGTAAATTTGACATTAAACAATAAGGACAATAAGGATATCTCGCATTTAAACCAGTAGCCCTGGTAGTGAGCTTTATCACAAGCGGACAATGTAGCGAGATAGTAAGATCTCAAGGTGGGTAGGTGACATTGTAATGAGGCAACCCAAAGAATAAATGATACTTTTTTGGTTTGAACTCACCCAAATTTGATTCCGGCTAAATTTAAACAGACAGCCAGAGATACCTCTCGTTAAGTCGCATGAGTCGATCAGTCGGTGAGCGCTGCGCACACAGTTTTGTGTGGTGACAACCAAATCACCCACCTTGGTGAACGAAGCACACGCATAAATCTTATCATTGACATGCCTCCCTCAAGTCCTAAAAGCATGTTCACGTCAGTCTAGATTTTCTCTCACCAACCACCTTCTCAGCAACTTTGACGCGAAGTGCAAAGCAAAAGACTGTGGAGATTTTGTTCCAAAAAGCATAGTTTATTGACTGTGTGCAGGGTACATCATAGTTTTT